CAAAAGTTCTATTCTTACATCAATTTGGGAGAAAGTTGCAACGCTATCCATAATCCATCTCTAAATAAACTTCAAAAAAAATCCACGTGGAGTGGACTGTAATTAATCTGTCTCGATTCCAGGGATGTGAATTGGCAGAAAGACAAACGATGGGCCAGTAACATTTCAAACCAGTGACTGAATACATACCGTGGGTTATAGATCCCTGGTAAGGCCATCGCTTTGCGTTGCTGAGAAGTTACAAACTAGGTTCAAACAGCTTTTCGATTATTTCATTCTTCGTATTATTCCCTTGAGTTTCGAGTGGAGCATAGGACTTCAACAACACATCTCCACTTTCTTCTATTTTCTGCCGTCTTCTTCATCTGGGTCCACGATTCCTCACAATCTCTCATCTCCTCCTCGCCACACGATCTCCTCCATGTCACCCTAGGAAGACCTACTTATCGATTCCCATTTAGATTCCACTCGAGCGATGGCCTGAACTGTGCACGGTGTCATTCGACGGCCTCCTCAATGAGTGACCGATCAATCCATCTCCATTTTCTCCTAGATATTTCTTCGAGTGATCAGCTCTCACCTCTTGGTTTGTTCCCTGACAGAGTTTCTTGTTGCTAATTCTTTCTGGCCGGCCGGTCGGCCACTTGATCTTCAGTAAGGAGCCAGCCAGCCAGCCAGCCAGCGAAGTTGGCAGCTGTTGAGAAAAGTCTTCAATGGCCTGTTGGAAGTGCTTTTCGTGACACTTAGTACAAGTTTGTGACCCGTAGAGAAGCACTGACCGACTGACTGACTTCACATTTGTGTTGAAGAGAATGTGAATCTTGTTGTTTGCTCTGTGTGAGGTGGGGTGCAGTGCAGAAGACTCTTCCCCACCGGTTTCAGGTTGATGACGGCGTCTCAGTACTCGCTTCGGTGGTACATATACTAAAATTGGAACGATACAGAGAAGATTAGCATGGCCCCTGCGCAAGGATGACACACGAAATTGTGAAGCGTTCCATAGTTTTTTTGCGTCAGTGGCACAGCGGTTAGGACGCTCGCCGACCATGCACATGGTCCAGGGTTCGATCCCCGGCCGACTCACTCCTTTACCTCGCTAACACAGGAAAGATGCTGGTAAAGAGGAAAGGTTGGACATGAGGCTAGCAACCCCGTCCTGTAAAAATAAATACTGCTACAGAAACTTCAAGCCATTAGCTTGAGGCCCTGTGTTGCACAGGGAACTGGACTGGACTACGTCAACTCCTAGCTTAGTGATAGGGAGTGAAGTGATAGAACATGTTGACCACTTCACCTACTTGGGAAGTTGTATTAGCACCAACGGACTGATTGGCGATGAAATCTCAGCACGGATCCGAAAAGCTCGAGCTGCTTTCGCTGACTTACACCATCTCTGGCGTAGGCGTGACATCCGGTTATCAACCAAGGGACGTGTGTACTGCTCATCAGTTCGCTCCGTCCTTCTCTATGGCTCTGAAACATGGCCAATACGCGTTGAAGACATGAAAAGGTTGACTGCTTTCGATCATAGATGTCTGCGATCTCTGTCTCACGTTAGGTGGTTTCACAAGATAAGTAATGTTGACGTTAGGCGTAGAGTGTTGGGCAAAGAGGGAAAATCAATCGACGAGGCTATAAAGTTACATAGATTAAGATGGCTAGGTCACGTGGTGCGCATGCCTAACCATCGCCTCCCCCGATGGGCATTACTAGCTGATATAGAGGTGCAGGTTGGAAAAGGGTAAGTGGTGGCCAAACAAAAACATGGCATCAATCCATGAAATCCTTGACAGTTAAACTGAGTCGGTCAGGTAAGGAGATGCAGACTTCCGGGTTGGGGTCCTAGGGACTCTAAGAATCAATGGCTGGAGATAATAGGTGAGAAAATAGCTCAAAATTGTTGTCAATAGCCAGCGCAGATGTATTCAGTCTCTGTAATCTTTCATATTCCTTTCTACCATTACCCATTCTGTTTCACTCGTATACTTGTCAAACTCTATTGATTCTCTTCACTCATCTTCTTGTCTACTTTTGTGTGTTATTTGGAACGTGGCAACTTGAACTGCTGCACTTCGGTGCCAAGTTCTATGTTGAATCCAGACAGACAGGGAACGTAAAGGAAGAAAAAAGACGGCGTATCATGTCTTTCCGATTGTGGCTGGCTGGCTTTGACATCTTCATCCGTGTGGCGTGCCTTTGGTTGAAACCGTGTTTTGTGGTCAGATAAGTGAAGGAAGTAACTTCTTTCAAATTTCTCCCGCTGATGGTGACTGGTGTTCGTTGTTGTTGTTGTTGGTTAGTTATCTTCATCACCTTTATCTTCTTTATGTTCACCTACAGTCCTGTCTTCTCTGACTGGCTTCTTCAGCCACTTTGTTGGTTGTCGCCAGCAAGTCTCCGAGTTTGTGTGGCATTGGACATAAATCATCCACGCGTGAAATCCAAATCTTCTAGAGTCTTCTTGTTGATGGTCCAGCGTATTCCTGACTCCTCACTCCCACGCACAGTCTAACATACAATTGTCCAGTCCACCACAATTAAAAATATTATCAGTGATAATAGGTAGCACTGACTTACTCCTGTATTTTCATTCTTATTACTCTACACTAATCACTAATTCATCAGAACATGTTAACACTCCTATTCATCAGTATTTAACACCATTCTTCACTATACTACAAAAAAAAAACTAAACTGTACTTTAGCATCGTGTTATCTAGTGTTATCTAGTCACTGCATGACGCAGATTAATTAGATATTCGACAAGTATAGTTTCCTGTGTATTTTATTTTACCCAATTATACATTTATACAGTTTGATTGAGTTTGTTTCGCCTTTTGCTTTTCTTTCAGTAATCTTTCATCGCTAGAAGAAAGGCTCAATACTGAACTCAATCAAATATCTAAATTGATTGACTCATGTTGATTGTATTGTATTATGTGCTGTAGATCAAACTATTTTCAACTCATTTTTGTTAATTACTTCTCTAGATTATGAAAAATAAAGAGGAATAATTAAAATATTTGTACAATTTTTATTATACTGTAGATGCATTGTGCAATATATTTTATCTTATAATATACATATTTCTCTTTTCAAATAGCACTCAATATGTGTAATTAATTACATGTATTTCAAGTTTATTGTTATTATTGAAAAAGAGGTATGAAAAACACTCCTTTTATCCCCTCCCGCTCCCTTTCATATTCATTCATTCATTCACTTAATTAGCCTCTTAGTTGTACAATTGCCAGCTCTTTTTGTCTATCTCGACTTTTGTTCTGTTTGACCGGATGTGTGAGGGGATGCGGTGGCGAATGAATGAATGAAGAAATCTTTCACTTTTTTCTATCCTTAATGATTTCAATGACAATATTTGCCTGTAATTAGAGTGAGTTCATTCCTAGTGTATTATTCACAGTGCCGATATATATATATATATATATATATTACTGTCCAATTCACCTCCTGACCATGCAGCTTTTACTTCTCAAATGCCTACATACACCCTTATCAACATTCATAGATGACTTATGCATACGTCTATAGAATCTTTTAGTTGAACATTACTATCATTATTATTATTATTGTTTTAACAAAGAGTACAATAGTAATTTGTGCATTTATCGCTTGTATCTGTGATTGATTAATTAACCTGTTCAATTATTACTATTATGGCGATTAGTTTCACCACTGTCCCGTTTATTATTTTTTTTCTTCTGTTTTTGTTTTCGTTTACATTCATTCATACATACTAAAACAAAAATTATTTGTTCGTTCCCTTCTTTTGTATTAGACTACTTTGTATATATAAACAATATAAATATGATTAGCTGTGAATAATTCTACTCGTTGTATTTCTATTCGAATACTGAAGACTATGCATGCATGCCTCTACACTTTTATCGCTTTAAATAATGAATGATACGATATGTGTCTTCTTATATTAGACAGACATACATCGACGTAGAACTTTACAAAGCACAGTTACACTGCAAAGTAGACTAGCTAGCCAGAGGTTTTGGGGGCTGTCTGAGTTGACCCTATCCGTGTAAACTACTGTTGAGCTTAGCGTTTTTAAGGAGTGAAGGGAACGAGTGGTGTTGAAACTAGCCGGACATCTAGCTAAAAGGGACGATTCTTCCACATCGTGACTGCTTTCCAACTGCTCATATCGATCAGTCACACTGATTCGAAACCTGTGGTGTATGTAAATGGCCCCTAGAATATGAATGCATTTAAGGGTGTATTAATGTGTTTTGGTCACCAACAACCATGAGAACATAGCCGATCAGACCTTAAGTCAAAGGCTCGGAGGATGGTCCTGATGTCGATCTGGGCGTTCGGGAGGTATCCCAGCCCTTACAAAACTGTGGTATTTTGTGTGGCTCATCTCATGGTGCCCATAATGTACTAGGTTTGTGTTTTTTAATAGCAAATAACTGTTCGTAAGTGTTTTCCAACATAATTATACCTTGTCGAGGGATCCCTGTGGTTGAGTGAGGTGTGTGATAAGCTAAGATAACAACGCACCACTGACATTTCACCAATACTGTCAATCATCCGTAAATAGTATAATGGTAGAATTTACATTGTCTATCCATTTTGCTTGTTTCATTATTTTTAGGAATATAACAGTTGATTTACATATTTCTAGTGAACATATGACTTATTAGCTTAAGCAACGGACTTCTAAACGACATGTCCTTACTTTCGACCCTATTCCACATATTTTAGTCCAAGCAACTGAGTACTACCTTAAAGCCATCATGGTACGCAAACTTGTCATAAAACTCGCCTATTCTAACGAAACCAGACATTTTGTTGAGAAGCAAATTGTGTACCTAACAGTTTAATCTTTCAACAGTTGAAATTGATGACCTCTACAGAAACAGGCTATAGACCAACCACCACGTTTGATCAATCTTTCTGGAATTCAAATGACACATGTTGCTAACTTCCACGAGTTCACCACACCAAAAAGAAAACAAATCAAATTCAATGATAGAAATTTTATTTATATCACAGTTAGATACAAACAAGCCTAAACAATAATTGTTTATCTGTCCAAAATTCATTTAAGAAAATAACAATATTTTGTAAAAAATAAAGGGAAGAAAGGAAGAAAGAAAAGAATAAATTAAAATATACAAAAATAATTGAACACAATATAACATACAAATAAGCAGATATTCACTAGTCAGCTAGTTAGTTAGTTAGTTAGTTAGGGGAAGTGAGGATATAAAAGCCAAAACAAGGGATATTGAGCTAAATTTAAAAAAATTTGCTTAAAACACACAATAATTTACAGCCTAGGATACACCATTCACTGTATCACTTCCAACATAATTATCAGAATCATTTACACTGGGTGGCTTAGATGCTGATAATTTAAGCATATTTAAATCAGTTGTCATAGTATTTACACAATCCTCAACGGTGGATGAGTGTACATCAACTTGTAAATCAATATTATTCGTGTTCACTATAGGTTGAACAGTAGCAGTAGTAGTAGTAGTAGTAGTAGTAGTCGCCAGTGAAGGAAGCAGACTTGACCATTTCAAGTAGATAGGTGAACAGATCATTCGGGATAAATTTAATAAAATAGGACGATACAATGAAGTTGGATTACTACAGATCGGTAGTGAAGCATTCGCATCAACGTCTTCTATGAGTAGGTAGTCAATTACATTAGCCAGAATACAATGTGTCAGTGATGTGGAAAATGCACTGGCCAAACATGTTGCATCATCTATCCAATCATCAGAATGTTGCTCTTTCAAGTTGTCATAACTTTGTGTTATACACAATGCAGAAGAATGTAGGCCATTTGATATGATTATAATAATTCTATAAATTGGATGAAAAAGAACAGAAATAGTAACATTTATTTATTCTTGTAATTTCGCGTGGGTATTTGTGCACCGAATCGATTATCTGCATTTTGACATATGACCTCTTTGAATAGATATCCCATTTGATAGTGGCCACCAGTGGAATCTAGGACACAATTTTGAAGCGACGGGGACTGGGTTTAAGTGCTAATGGTAACACCATCCAGTTGACAAATCATAAGTGTAACGAACAAACGTGTCCTGCATTCCACTGTCAAGCCACCGTCATACAAGTAACTAACTGACATCATGAGATTTTTAAACAAGTTATAGAAGAATTAATGAATGAAATGAATTTTAAACACAGTAGCAAAAATAATTTTTGAAAATCCATTCTAGTTAAAACACAATAATACTAACTGAGTGAGTGGACTGGCTTCGAATGCTTAGGCTATGGAGTTGGGTTATGAGGAAGAAGAAGAATTGACTTAGAGAAAAAATCTCAATACACAGCTAGACTAAAGCGCATTAACCACCAATGAAACGCTGGTAAGAACCATGTGGAAAGTGTTCAGATCACCCGGATGGAAATTAGTGTGTCACGCGCGTACAACTGTCCACCAACACTAACTTGAGGTTGATATGCGCATATCTTTACGCTTTATCCTTTTCTAGTATTATTCACATGATATTCTATGTCCGATTAACGCTGTGTTAGTCTTCTCTGTCACTTATTTCACTAATACATGACACGTGTAGGAGGAATGAATATGTAGTGATACAAAGTTCTGTAGAATGTTTGTTTACCCTATTCAGAACTTATTACTACCTTCCAGACCTGAAGTTTTTCGTCTAATGAATGATCCAACTTTTTCTAAGCACCTATTTTTTCTTTTTCTTATTCCATATTTTTACCTTCGTTGACTTAAACTTTCAGTGTTCTTATAGGCATATATTAAACGCGTAAAACGCAGTATTATAGCGTCGCACTACTCACAAGTAGTAGGGTTGTTCTTTTGAAATATTGCGTAAATTTACAGTTTGAAACACATAGAGGAACAGCAATGTTAAGTTAGACATAATTAATCTGTTGCTTTCGTCTAAAACTACAGTCCCATTAACGCACTTCTTTAAGTTTCGGATTGTGATTAGGAAAAGTTAGGAAAAAAGCTATGTGTTTTCATGCATTAGAACACACCTCATCACAATTTTTAAATCAAGGACAACTGAACTTCTAGTTGTAACCTGATTCTGAATTCAACTTTCAACTGAAAACTGTTCACAAAAGTGAGGAAATCAACGTGCCACACTTTGAAAAGTACAAACGAAGATAGAAAGGGGAAACAGAAATAACAAAGGGAAAATTTACGAGAAAGAATAATGACACAGAAAACAATGAAGATCACAAAGGGAATGAGTCTGCCATTGAGCAAGATTTCGACCCCTGTCACCAAGAGTCTCTAGTCATTTGTTCTTAGTGTTTCGAAAACGCCACCCAGGTCGTCGACATCTGCCTACATGGTCAAGAACAGCAGTCAAAGAATTCATAGATAGATGCTATGCTTTTGTCTAACCATTACTATCTCTCCTTAAAACGAATCCTGTACGCTGATGCATCAAACATGGACTGTGGCTAACTGGAAGAAATTTGATTAACATGAACAAGTAAGTGATAACCCCTCATACTCGTTTAAAATTCAAATATCCATTCAGAATGTGCTTCTTCTTTCGAATCAGCAAGACTAAGTCATGCACCACGTTCATCCGTTATTTTATAAACCATACCCTACTCACAGATTTACAGAATTTCTTAAGTAAACAATTATCCGCCAACTTGTAAAGATTTGAACGATCTCGTGACTCGTTCAGTCACGAACAAAAATCAGTTAGCAGAATAATTGAGAAAATCTCCAGTCGGCTGCTTTATCCTAGATTACGATTACTCGACAGTGAGCCACGACGGCCATCCCATTAAAGGCAAAACTCAAGGTAATCAAGTTGTAAAGTAAGCAATATTACCATTCGGAAAGTAGATGCGAATTCAGGGTTCCAAGATTTCTAAGTACTTCCGATTCAGATATCTTAAAAATAACAATCCACCTCTCAGTGATGATTAACTTTCAGCTGATCTCCTCACAGTGCCACTTAGAAATTGTAGCTTGTGTAGTCTACCGAGTTTGGATAATGGTTCCACTAGATCGCCCCCAGGTCCCTCTCCGTAAAAATGTTGGAAGTCCTAAAATATTGATTTCCAACCCTGTGGTTAAATGATAAAATGTTTGCTCTGTAACTTGAATGTTCGTGCCTCAAATTTTCAGATTATAACATTTAAGTTGTCTAGTGAGCCTCACTTCCAACAGTTTCTCCAACTGATATTGGGTTCCAGTGAAATTGATAAAATGTACTGAAGGTGTAATAATAACTGTTCCTGAATATTCATAGAATCACTAAGATATTAGGTAAAAAGGAATGCCATAGCAAGTGTAATGATGATATACGTAAATATATATATATATCAATCCTTACCTGCTTTTCAAAGCGCTTGGACAATAAATATTCAATCCACGAAACAATTCAACATAACCATTATATAGCAGTATTAATGGAGGGTATTCAAGTAAACTGTTGATCATTTTTGAATAAGAACTTAAGACGCTGTCATTCCTTTCTGTATACGATCCATTGACTTGGACACTGTCCGATGGGATTTTCCATACCCAATTCATTAGTGCAGATTTGAATTCTGAGACAATATTATCGATATAACTCTGTAAAAAAAAAGGAATAGACGACAAGGAGTATGTACAGAGAAACACAATTTGCAACAGACGAGAGAGACGAGAAGATATGGTGTTTGCAATGAGTGAGTGAGTATATAAGAAAACTTATTCCTTTCAGCAAAACAATTTAAACAAGCCCTCGAATACATACACTACACCTTTTTATGCTTATATAACCGTAGGAATCTTAGTTCTGAATTCATCGGGATATTTTACACACCTTTGATTATGGTTATACCACTTTTTTTATTTATTTTCCAGTTCATTATAACAAATTTATGAGTATGTTCTTTCTAGAAAACAGCTATATACTCTGCCAACTTAACTGCAAGCAGAGTTAACAACAACAGTGTGGACCATATAACGACGCAGAGAAGAATGCGTGCTCGATAAAAGAAATTTATGAGATCTCAGTTAGTGTATTTTTGTTATTATTATTATTATTATTATTATTCGTCTTTTGGACTCCAAGTGGAATATAAGGCATCAGGGACACATCTTTATTCCAATTGCTCCTCTTCCACCACTTTCAGCTGGCTCCACAACTACCCAAAAGTTTCTATGTCTTCTGCACATGATCTTCTTCATGTCATCGTTGGACCCACACGTCCAACCCATTGATTCCCATTCGACTTCCGTTCAATGGTCTCTTCAGTTTACGTCGAATTTATCTCCGTCTTCTTCTGCATATTTGTTGGGTGATAAGTTGTTGGCTGTTTTGTTGCCTGCGAAAGTTCCTCGTTGCTTATTGTTTTCCCCTGGTCATCCGAAGGTAACTGTTGATGAAAGTCTGCAGTTACCTTTTGAGGAGGCTCTTCGTGCCTCTCTCAATCGACATTACAGTTGAAAATCAGGATCTTATTCCCAGTGCTGAGTGCCGTGGAACTCGAAATTGATTTCGCAGCAAAGAAGGTCTATATTGCTTCTCCAATCATGGCTGGCCCTAGCATCTTTATCTGTGCCGGCATCTGTAGTTGAAACAATGCCTTTAAACTTTTCCCATTGTTACCCAGTGGTGCTTATTGATTTTGTTTTCCGAGTATCTTCATCACCCTTTTCCTCTTTATGTCTTCACTGTTTCTCCTGCTACCAGTTAACGTAAGTGAAAGTTATATCAAGAGAGTATATACTACTAAGTGATAATATCAGTTGGGGAGTATTAATAGGTAGTGTTTACCAGCCAGATTCGAATTGATTGAACACCGAATAGGGTCGTTTCGCTGGCTTGGGTATTAAGCTTATCAGCGGCGTACACGGTTGAAGATTCAACCGACCTCTGTTTGTTTATCTCGCTTGTTTTCTTAATTATCCATTTGTAGTATCAAACAGAGCATACGCAGATTTTAACGACTTACGGAATGATTTTGATGTGGTTTTGTTCTCTGAGCTGGATGGTTAGTTTGCGAAGCTTTCATCACCTTACTGGGTGACATTTTCAGCGCATACTTCAAATTGAAGTATGCGCTGAAGATGTCACCCAGTAAGGTGATGAAAGCTTCGCAAACTAACCATCCAGCTCAGAGAACAAAACCACATCAAAATCATCCACCTGAGCTACAAATCTTCTCTATAATACTTACGGAATGACTTGTTACCAGGGTACAGTCTTGTTAACTTAGAGTATGTAGATGATATAGTCCTATCAGGTGAAGGACTCTGATGAAATGCAGACTCTTCTAAGCACCTTGAACAGAAATCTTGTTATGTCAGTCATGTGATGATGATGATGATGATGCATGACTGGTCTGCGCAGACTCCCAGTTTAAAGATAAGTAGTGAAATGGTAGACCAATGTTGATCACTTCATTTATTTTGGAAGTTGCATCAGCCCTAACTGACTGACTGATAATGAAATCTCTGCATGGATTAATAATCGCCAGGCATTTCCTAACCCCCATTTCTCGCATAGACCTGATTTCTAACCATCGCTCAAAGGCTGCAGTTTGCAACCCTCTTCATATCTATGAGATGTGGCATATGAAGGTGAAAGACCTGAAAGGGTGAGCTACCTTTGACTATAAGTGTTTCCGTTCTATCGCTTGTATTGTAAGAGAAATAATATGCTGTATAACACTGAAGTTAGGCACAGTGTCTGATAAAGAGGGAAAGACAATCAATGAGGTTGCGAAGCTGCATGACTAGGAAATGTGTTACGAGTACCAAGTCATCACCTTTTTTATCCAACTTTTTTATCTGAAATCGAATTAGATTGGGAAAGATTTACGAGTGGTCAAATCAAAATATGGCATGAATCCATGAGGCCTTTGAGTGTTGGTTTGGGTCACGTAGAGAAGTACAGACTGTCTAGTTGGAGTCTTCAGGACGCTAACAACCAACAAATGGAGACTCTTGGTAACATGGCTCAAAAATGTGCCTAGCGACCCAGATGCATCCACGCCTTATGAACTCCCAGATTCACCGAATTCTCATTATTCTTCCTTCCCTACAATTCCGTTCATTATGGTTCCACTGAATTTTTGTTTTTCACTACCTTTGAGTGCTGTATGGAGTTTAGCACAACACAAACTGATGCACTTTAATGCAAGGCTTTGCGCTGAGAACTCTCCCATTCGGTGAATGAATCAGTGAGTGAAGATTTTACCCAGGTTTCAGAGTAAGTCTCTTTCATCACAACAACAAAATTTTAAAAACCTTTTTTAGATCATTTATAATAATTAGAAAGAAATTTTAAAACATATAATCAAAAGAGTATAAGATTTAACTGACCTGAATAAATAATTCAATTTGATTAGAAAAAAGATTTGCTAAATGTGGTCTAAAATCACAGCCAATCCTTTGAAGTGAACGACCAAAATACATTGACTGAGAAGCTAACGACTGTAATTGAGTGAATAATGTTTCAAGGCATACACCATTTCCATCTGATTTATACATTAAATTATTCGAGTCTGAAGAAGAACCAGCAGCTTTTAACAAACGATCCATTAATTCTTGTGGATTAGCTTTCGGTTGATACATCATTGTTTGAAGATTATTAGACAGATTGATTAGAAAGTCAGCCACTTGATCAACTAACCAAGCATGTAATAAATTTGGACTAGACGAATTATAATCGAATGGTTTTAAACCTTTTAATAAAGAAGTGGAATAGACTGAATTCCCTGAGTATTTAGAGGTGAATGATTGTTTTCCTTGTGTTTTATATGCTTGAGGAAGAATACTATCTTCATCGGGAAACACTGCTCTAAAAATAATCAACAAACAATAAAAGAAAAGATTGGTTACAGGATTTCATCATGCGCCAACATTGGTTAGATAACCATTGGAAAACCTGGGAGTACTGAACAGCTGTTTCGTCCTAGTTTCAGACTCTTCGACAGCGCGCACCAACCACAGGGAGTTCGAGCCTAGGACCTTCTGGTTACAAGACGAGGTAGCTCGTAGACCATTAAGCCAGTGGGACCCGATCCATGAATTGTTACAATTTCGAAACTAAAGAACTAGAATAAGTTCAGTGAACATGCATTTTTTGTAGTGATTTCATTCTTAACTGCTAGATAGATAATTCTCAACTTACTCATATAACAGAATAGCTTACAACATTGTGTACCTCTGACATTTTCGCCCTTCTGGATCCTTAGTTATATCTGTATGAAGCAACCGGAGTTATGTGCTCAAAAGAAGCTCGTTTAACGCATACATCTACCATGGAACCCTTTAGTTTGATGTTTTGCAATCGCCTCTTCAACCTTTACCATTTTCAGTTGTAAAGTATTATTTCAATCTTTTTCTAAGCATATCCTGACCACACCTTTTCCACATACAAAACAACACTAAGCATTATGCAACTAAATTTTTTTCCTGTATTGTTTTTTAGACATGCATAACACATGTTTCAGTCACTTCAGTCGACAAGGATTCACAGATTAATTCACTGACTTAATATCCTTATCAAACGCTATGCGCAACCCGCAGATGCATAACATGAAAGCAATAGTAAGAAGACATTTATGTTAAGAAGAAACTTTTAGTATTTAGTTTTTAGTGATCATAATTCAAAGCCATAATGCATTATACGGTGCGTAGCTGATAAGTACACTCATCCTTTGGATAGGTAATCGGATATTTTGCCTAGCCTGCAGAGAATATGATAAGTTAATGAGTATGAAATAAGTAAAATAAGAAAGACTAGGCAAGGATGCTGACAAAATGCAGAGTCTTCTGAACACCTTGAGCTGCAATCTACGAATGTTTGGCATGCAATTCGCTCCCGCCAAATGTAAGATGGTGTTACAAGACTGGACTACACTGGCTCCTAGATTAGAAATAGGGAGTGAAGTGGTAGAGCATGTTGACCACTTCACCTATTTGGGAAGTACCATCAGCCAGTGCCAACGGGTTGGTCTCTGACGAAATCTCAGCACGGATACAGACAACTAGTTTCGCATATGCCAGTTTACGCCATCTCTGGCTTAGTAGACGTGACATCCGGCTGGCTATCGACCAAAGGACGGGGGTACTGCTCAGAAGTCCGCTCCGTCCTCCTTTATGGCTGTGAACGAGACCTGGCCATTGAGGGTGGAAGACATGAAAAGATTAACTGTCTTTGATCATAGGTGCCTGCGTTCTACCTCCTGTGTGAAGTAGTATAATAAGGTGAGCAATATTGAGGTGAGGCACCGGTAGAGTGCTAGGCAAGGAGGGGAAATCAATCGACGAGGCTGTGAAGTTACATCGATTGAGATGGTTAGGACATGTGTTACATTTGCCTTGTCATAGCCTTCCTCAACAATGGGCAATGTTAGCTGACACAGAATGGATCAGGCTGGAAATGAGGTAGCTAGTGGTGGTAAAACCAAAACATGGCACTAGTCAATGAAATCTACAACAGTTAGTCTAAGCCAGCCACGTAGGAAGGTGTGGACTTCGTGACTGGTTGGGGTCCTTGGGACGGTAAAAACCAATGGCTGGAAACAATTGGTGATATGGCTCAAAATCGTTCTCAATGGCTGGTGCAGATGCATCCACTCCTTGTGACTTATTATTTCAAATTAAACTATATTCTTCTTCATTATTACTATTGCTTTGTCTCTCACCTTTGTTCATTGTCTCTATTATGCATTTCTTCTACTTTCTTCTCTTGATTTGTGTGCTACATGGAGTGTGGCGAGTTGAACTGCTGCACATCGGTGCAAAGTTCTATGTCGAAAACAGACAGACAGACAGTTTAATTAAGACAACCTTTTCATTTTAGAGATTGTACAATTACACTTGCATACAATTCTTTCAGTAAACATCTGTAATGTTTAGTTTAACTAGACTGAAATGCTCGGTCTGTGTTAGTAAATCGACTCCGCTAGGATAATCAGCAATGAAAGCCACCTATTGTGCGATGGGTATCATATGGTAGTTAAAATGTTTATGAATGGTGAAAACAATTTAAACGTTGCACAAGAACTATGAAGATTGACAAGTTTGAATGAAGTGTTGCGCAATGTGATGAAATTATGAGGAGCACAGAGACAAGAATAAAGGTATATCACATGAGAAATTATGCAAATGCCGACAGGAGGTAATTTTCTGAAATAAGTCAGATTTGAAATTTAAAAAGTGACGTAATAATAGTTGGGTAAAAATAACTCCTTTTGCACATCAGAAGCCAATATTTCCTGTGTAAGTCAATGAAGTAACTAACAGTGTAAACAACACGTAAACTCGCCATTTTCGAAAGATTACCCTTTCTATTTTATTTTGATTGGAGACTAGGTAGTAACTAATGGCATGAGTCTAATTCTTCGTTTGGTGCAGACTGAATTCTATCATCAGTTAAGTTCAGGACATAGCTGCCATGCTAGGTGGCTCTCTGTCATGGTGAACTGTGAACTGTTCTTAGACGGTTCGAGGCAATCAGTAAGCGTGTCTGAAATCTTGAAGGAACTTATGTCCCTTCTGAGATTCAAACTTAATAAATACCTTTAAAATAATAAAGATAAGCTAAACAGTTTCAAAGTTGACAGACTAAGTTTCAGTGTAGAACTTTGCACAGAAATCAGCAGTTCAAATTGCCACACTCCATGTAGCACACAAATATAGAGAAAATTAAAATAAAATCCAAAAGAACTATACTGACCAGAAATGTACATTAGAAAGAAAGAATAGTAACATGGAGAAGCAAGAGGACTTAATGTATCTGGGAGATTACAGAGAGTGAGTCCTATTGAGAACGACCTCGGACTATTGATTTCTAGCAGCCAAACAGTCTAGTGACTTAAACCAACAGTTAGAGACTTCATGGATTGCTCTGACCACTCCTACCTCTTTTCTGACCTAATCCTATGTCAGCCAATACTGCTCAACAAAGAAGGCTCGGTATGCCTAACACGTGTCTTAGCCACATCAAACTGCGTAGCCTTACAAGTTCATCGGTTGACTTGCTGTCCATATTTAAAACTCTACACCTAACCTTAGTATTACTCGCCATAGTGACATCTGTAACCAAAGGCAGACCTTCCACTTTCACTGGTCATATAAAAGACAAAACGAAGTGCTGCGTAGTACACATGCCCGATGACCGATAAACAGACATTACGTCTATGTCAGAAATGATTTAAATTGAGCTTTTTCGGTCCATGATGAATTTTCACAGTTGATTTCTGATGACACTTGCACAGAAACAACTAGATGACATTTCGGGCACAAAGCAAATTATGATATGATTATGAGTAATAAATTGTGATAGGAACGTCATCCGATTATTCATACGGCACAACTGTTTTATATCAAATAATCTTATTTAATATAGACTTTGCGTCGGTGTCTTGAAGCCCTACGTTCCACTGGGAAAATGAAGGATATATATATATATATATATATATAAAGAGAGAGAAACGACTCATCGTGATTAGGGAATTTAAAACTACGAGAGAATTACTGAAGCTAAATATAGGTATTTTCTGGCTGAAGTATCATCAGCTTTATCAACCTTTAATAATATTTTAACCACCAGTTAATCATTAGCATAAAAATAAATTAATACAGAAAAAGAGCACAACAAAACGCTGGGATTAATTTAATTAATTTAACTTGATGATTCAAAAAATTTCAGTTGATGTACAAAAGAAGTATAAATAATTGCCTTTTTTAATTCTTACCGATATTGAGTAACTATGTCGAATAGTTGAACACGTGTAACCTCAATAAGTCGTGTAGCTATCCAATAGGCTCGGTCATGATTTCCTTGAAATGAACGAAACCCAGATAACTTTTCACGTTTATCCACACTAGACAGATCTTTTGGTATACATGTGATTAAAGAGGCGTTGATCTGATTTTTAAGACAAGCTGTACGAGTTTGCAGAAATTTTAACCGTAATTCTTGTTCGCTTAATAATCCCGTTCTACGAAGAAATACAACGGTCTAGAATGAAAAAAATAGTGGAAAAAGAGGAACAAAATTTGATGGGGTGTAATACTGTAGATTCTTCATTCTAACATGTCTTTCAGACTACACAAAGCTGAGTTGAGGAACATTCGTAAAGAAATGTTTATTTTCTTTTCATTTTTACCCTATTTTAACACGAATGAATCTCTGGTAATTACATTATCCTTTCATTCACTTGTATGAAAACATATTGTCCTCAATCTACGTACCTGAAGATTATGAGATAGTATTCGACTTTAAAACGACAGTGGATGTGAGGTAATTTGACTGACTTCATTAAGAGCTAGCAGCACTTAGAGACTCTTCAACAGTACACACGTATGTCTTTACGACGAGTACTATTCAGGCTCATCAAGTTAAAAAAATAAGACTACCGTTCATGCATAGGATCATAAATTGTACAGAAACTGTCTGTAAAAATCCTCCTTCTTTCCTTGATCAGCCTTGTTTGTAGATGTGTCACATTGTACAATTGCAACCTTCCTTTCTTTCAAGTTAAATCTTTTTTTAGGATCATGGATATTAGTTGCTAATTTATAAGTCCTTGATTTTGTTGGTGACATCATTATGGCTACACCGTCAGTGTGCTCATGATTTTCGTCTGAATGACCGAAGTACATTTTTGAATTTCTAGTTAACAATTCGGAGAGCCCATATCTATTCCATAAGGTTTCAAAGATTTCTAGCTCTTTGATACTATATCTTTTCATCTGTTTTGTAATCTGGACAGCTTTAGCTACCTCAAAAATAGTGCGAACGGTCCATGCCGCTATGCATACTTTGGCTTTCATCAAAATAAGAAACATCATATGACTGGCTTTTTGAAGGCTTTCCCAGTTCCAGAAATGAATAAATTTTTCCCTGTTCCCTGAAGTTTCAGTAGCCATGAAGTTTACTTGAAGGACTATATCCCTCGTATAACACTCCATTTGCTTCTTTGGAGATAGATACGTATGTCGTTCAATGTAGATTCTGTTGAAAAGAGTGCAGGAACACTACCATGCATAGCTAAGACGTGGAAGTGGTTCTGTAAGAAGTGCAGTTACTGAAAGTCTTGTTTATAACGGTTATTCTATCTCAATTATTTCCTCATTAAACGTTATCCATAAGTCAAAATATGCCCTCCCAAAACTGGTCCCATCTCATCTCATCTATACTGCCACAACTTTAACCGCAGAAATAGAAAGGCTGGAAGTTTGCATACAGAAGAAACATATTCAACCCCTTCTTTCTTGGTTTTGGTCTATTCACGTTGAAGTTATTATTAAAATATTACTTTTTAAATGTCTCTACTGTTATACGATTTAATTCTTACGTATTAATACCTCTTCTGCATTTCCATGTTCATTTTGATAGTAATCCACAAACCTCAAGCCTTTTCTCCATCTATGCAACTTCTTATCTATAATTGTTTGTATTTATTATACCTCCATTGTACCTCAGTTAACACTTAATTACGTTAATAACTTTGCATTTATTCTACTAATTACTGTATATTTTAAATGAGAAGTTATTCGACAAATGAAACAAATTCTATGCAATTGTGACTGTTAACTTGGAAAACAATCCCTTCACTGAATCATGTGTTTTCTCTTTCCGTATGGTTAGTTGGAGATTACCCGTGAATAGTCAAATGCTTTTATGTGCTATTTGTTGAAGGCCGAGTAATCAAACCGTTGAGTCATAAATCCAACTGATATAGACACACCTCAAATAATCTGTCAACTTCACGCTTGATGGTGAAAATAAATATGTTTAAAGCAAATATTTAAAACATATTTAACTGGTATAAACAAAATCTTGTAGTTTTTTTTAATTACCTTTAGAAAGAAAAAAAGACAATTACAGTAACAGGGGAAAATACATACCTTGATGCATAAAGGTAAAGAGATAGGTGCTCTTAGTTGGTCACATAGCTGGTGGACAAACTGTGACCCCACGGCGGATACTTGTTTGTGGATCATTCGTAGGACGGGACTATTCGATCCGTATTTATTGAATAACATTTTACTATGCGTAAAAATTGATATAGCATCATCAAAATGACCATTGTGCACACATGTTTGCATTAATTGTGGAAGTTCTATGATTTCTAACAGCTTTACGTTTCATTATGGTAAAAAGAAAGTGGAAACATGTTTACCTGTGTGTGATTCTCCAAAGCACTTCTATTCTTCTTAAGAGAAGCTTCAATAGATCGAGTCTTTGATAAAAATTCACCAGAACATTGAAAAAACTCAGTGATTTGTGATAAAAGAAGCTGATTAGCATTCGACATTTCGGAAGTTCTGTCCAAGATATTCTGACTTGCATCCTTTGTAGCCAGAAAAATATGATAATTTTCCGCAGCTAAAGATTTAGTCTTATTTTTCAGAGTATCACGGATATTTCTTAACTGACGCACCGCAGCAGATAAGTTGTCGAAACTCGAAGAAGCTAACTGGTTAACAGCTTCTTGGAAATAAGGTTCTTTCTGAATGTCTGGTGGAATATTAAGCTTTTTGATAAGTTGTTCCATCCAGTGATCAGTCGTGAAGTCTTTATCACTTTCTGAACCATTGCTGATAATCCCATTCGCTACATCCATTGATTGTTCAGCTTAACTTAATAGACAAGAGTAAAATACTCACAGTTAGGAAGATACTATACAACAACCTAAAAAATAATTGAATAGTATTTATTAATACGTTGTGAGTTTGCATTTACATTTCCACATTTAAAGCATTTATTCCAAACATAACCTACAGAAAATAGAAAAGACTACCGAAAAAATCATTCATCAGCATACCTCCTTAATATATAATTAAGGCCATGAAACATCTAATGCTTATGAGTTATTGATACACTGGAAGTCTAAGATGTGGTGTGATTAAAAATATAAGCGATCAACTAAAACCTGACTTATGAGTGTCCGAAACACAGTCATATTTAGAGTATAAGACAAACTAGTCATGTATTCATTATTGTAACATGAGACTACATTTTACAATATTAACGTTAACTTATTTAAGAATGTAAGCTAAAAATAACACGACGGTATTAACTATCCAAGTGATTGAAGAGATGAGTATAAATAGAGAACAAACCGATATTACGCTGTAGAAGATGGCCTAACCATCTCTACCGGTGTAACTTGACAACTTCCTCGATCAGTTTCACCTCCATACCTAACACTCGATGCCTAGCCTCAATATTACTCACCTTAGTATAACGCCTAACACGGAAGATAGAACGCAGACACCTATGACCAAAAACAGCTAGCCTCTTCATGTCCTCCACTTTCAATGGCCATATCTCACAGCCATAAAGGAGGACGGAAAGGAATGCTGAACAGTACACGCATCCTTTGGTTGAAAGCCAGTGGGGTATCACGTCTACACCAGCGATGATGTAAGTTTGCCGGCATATGCCAAACGAGACTTCTGTATCGGTGCTGAAACTTCGTCAGCAACCAACCAAATAAGTGAAGTAGTCAACACGCTCCACCAGCCACTTCACCCCCATCTTTAAGCTAGGAGTGAGTCGATTTATTCCAGTCCTGTGGCATCATCTTGCATTTGACAGGAGTGAATCGCATGCCAAATATTCGAAGATTACTGCTCAAGGTGTTGAAAAGACTGTATTTTATTACCATCTTGATTTAGGAGGACAATAGTATCTGCATATTCTATGTCAGCGAGATCATCCCCAGGTAACAAGTCAATCCCTGAGTCGATGAAATTAGTTAGGGATAAGTCAATTAGTATATCTATGGTGAAACTGAACAAAATTGGGGATAGTGGGCATCCCTAACGGAAACCACTGGTTGTCACCACTTCAGATGACAACTCTCCGTAGGCTTTCTCCTGGCTGACCGCATGAGTTCGAGTAAAGAGCCCTGATCAGTGCGACGTATTTTCTCGGCATTCCCTTGACAGCCATCCCATCGCCATAATACCTGTCGGTTGACGGAGTCGAATGCCGTTTTCAGGTCAAGAAATGTGACGTTTGTTGGATGCCGGTAGGTGTGCCAATGTTCCAGAATCTGTCGAAGGGTGAATGTATGATCAATACAACCTCCTTTTGGTCTAAAGCCTGTCTGGTTCTTTCGTGTTCGTTTCCCCTGAGCACTGCTCAATCTATGCATGATTATTGAGCCTAGAACTTTAGACGCCACCATATTAGTCAAGCTAATCCCCCTGCGATTATCACAGGAAGACTCGTCTGACTTCTTGTATACCGAGATAATCAATGACTTGCACCAGCCCGATGGGACTATCTTTGATTCCCAGACACCACCTAAGGTAACAGGCAGTAAAGTGTCCCCACCGTCCTTGAACACCTCTGAGTCATTCCATCAGGTCCCACTGCTTTGCCTCGTTTCAGAATAAAGACCGTCTTTGTAACTCAGTTGCAGATGGGGAATCGACATCTAGATCCCATTCATGTAGGTGTTGGATGTTGGGCAATTTGAGCGTAGCTGTAGGCCAGTTAAGTTGCTCCCCAAAATGTTTCTCCCAACGTTCCAGTCTATCCTGAGAGCCAGTTAAGGTGCCACTTTTCTCTGAATTGTTTTACTCATCATCTGCCTTTTGTCACCTTTTCCCCGATAAGTTTAAATAGTTGTCTGTAGCTACTTATCGCCGATTCTTTTTCGTCTCTCACTTTTTTCTCCTACAACTGTTTACGGTTGTTGAAAAGACACCGTGTTAGTTTATGTCTGAGCAGCTTTCGCTCATCATCGTATTCGGAGCTCGTTGGAGTCAGTCTTCTTACCTTAACCAGATACAGATTTTAACTTACAAAGCAGTCTTTCAAGATAAATTCTGATCCAAAACGCGATAAGCTATTTTTTTACGGTGATGGGTCATCATACGTTAACAGAGGACGAATAGAGAAACAAGGCTTTATGAAGATTGATGAACTTGGTAAATGTAAAGATAAGGCAAAACATTCATGTTTGGTAATGTTCTATAAAGCACTTTACATGTACGTGAAGTGGTATGTGATGAATAATTTTCAGCATCTAAGAGCTAAAATATACACACTTAAAATATTTGATGTCTGTTCTCTGAGATAGATGGTTCAGTTGCGAAGTTATAATGCATAAAAAATACTCAGTTGTTCTGGCGAATGTGTTTACACTGCAAGTAGTTTTTTCCAATAGTTAACATTTCTTTCTAAGCACTATGTATATCAATGAGTTACCTCTGCTCACCGACTCCCCTATGGTCCTATACGCAGATGACTTACAAATTTGGAGAAAGCTGAAGGGCAACAGTGATACGTTCACGTTGCAAGAGGACCTCAACAAATTGTCAGAGTGGTCTGTTGAATGGATGCTCCCGATCAATGTGGCAAAATGTGCAACCATGCGCATTGGACAATCAAGCACAAGCCCCTACGAATTAGGGGGAATAACACTTCCATCAGTTCAGACTCACTTGGACTTAGGTGTCATAGTTAGCCACGACTTAAAAACTACAGCACACTGTCGCGCGGTGGCTGCACGTAGTTTTAGGTCCTTATGGGTGATTCGCAGAGCCTTTACAAGAATTACCAGAGATATGTTCACCTCCTTATATACATCTCTGGTTAGATCAAGACTGGAAAACTGCATCCAGGCCGCCAGTCCTTGTCTAAAAGGGGATTCACACATTTTAGAAAGTGTTCAAAGGAAGGCAACACGTATGGTTCACGGCATGAGTAACTTATCATACGAGGAAAGACTAGACAGTTTAAATCTCTCACTGTCATAACGTAGGCAGAGAGGAGATTTAATCACAATGTTTAAAATTTCAAATAATAACTACGGACCTGACCTATTCTCTCTTTTCCTTCCCACCAGGTCGGAACACCTTAGAGGACATAGCAGGAAAGTTCAAGAGCCAAGGAGAAATCATATTGCTGTTGAGTACTGGTTCTCACATCGAGTCATAAACTCTTGGAACCGACTCCCAGAAGAAGTGGTGTCTGCAACCTCAACTGATTCGTTCAAGAAGGGTTTGGACAACCACAGAAATCTACTAGAAAAGGATTAACATAGGCTCCAAGCCTTCTATCCTCAACCAATAAATCTGAAATCTGAAAAAACAATACCCACAAATACTGATACGTATTTGAAAGAGCCCTGGAAGTTAAAGCAACCCGAAATAACAGAAAGTTTGAAAAATTCAAGTTAAAAGGCTGCAAAACACGTTAGATGTTTTGGAGTCACTCAATGAAAGCTATTTAACAGGAAAATCAATGTAATTATGCTTGCTAATAAGGCTGTCAGAAACAGAGCCCAGACCAACTATTAACTCAGTCAGTAAGCATCATACACTTTTTAGTTACGGTACATGAATAAAGTTTCTTATGTGCAAGACAAATTCAATCAAAATAGTCATCCCTCAACCTTTTCCCTATATCTTAGGACCTTGAGACATTTTTTTATGGACACGTTTAGAACAGTCCGATTTACTACCACTGTTCTGTGCTCACTGTTTTCTTAGCTGTTATACACAACATTAACCAACAGCCCCTTCCTCTCCTGAACCTTGTGTTGAAAAACAGGATACTTACTTACCAGAGACTACTGTCAGTTAACTATTACTAAGAACTACTCACTACTTAAGGTTTCCTAGCACATATGTTACAGAAGACTGCTTTAGGGTTCTGTAACATCACTGTTTGATAAATAGTCTAAAAAAATTCATGATGGACTAACGTTAGACGCTTTCTGCAATGTTTTATGACACTTAAAGAGAATTACCAAACATCTAAAATGAGACTTCACAAAAGTACTTATCACCGACAACAATACTACACGTAATAAAAAATGGATTAAGAATAACTTACATGATAGAGTGCTGGAAAAAGTCTTGAAAAAGTATATATATTATGTTGAGAGAAATTACCAATGTTGTCAAGATGACGATCGTACCGCACCCTGTTGAAATTCTTCTCTAAATGTAAGGTGTACAATATCCATTGTCACTGATTTAGCTTTTTTTAAACCATAAATTTATTGATAAATATTTCCAGATCTTAAAGAAAGGTGGTTTCCATGGGCCATAGTAGCTCTTCTGGATGCACGTGGCGGACACATATGCATTTACTTTGCAAAACAATTATCTTTTATCCCAAACTGCTACTCCCGTGTTAATTTGTACTCGTTGTTTTGCTGTAAAATCCCATTACTGGAAGAAGTGATACACTGATATGATAACCAGGAAAAAGAGAATCATTAGTTAAATAACGCTGTAGTAGAACAATAGGGATGTGTTCGACAGAAAAAAAATTTAGCTGAAAGAAAACATCCAAAACAATCATTAAAAAGCGCATATGGATAATAACATTTGTTAGAATTGAGTAGGCTGTCTTTTAAGTCCATAAACTGGCGGATACCTGACCATATGATTTGGCAGGAAATTCCATAACAGCAAACTTTGAAATAATGGAAACTGATCCACACCTGTAGTACCTCTCCCTTATAGGCAACTTATATTAGGCATGTTCAGAAATAAAGAAACGTCCTTCTGGTACTATGTTTCCATGCAAGCATTCTGAGTTGTTGCTAATGTGATTAAACTTAATCAAGTCACCCTTGATTTTGTTACCCTTTAGTTTGCGTGGATCCAGATCACATAGACGTCAGACGTTTTACTCTGATGATGGCTTCTGTCTAGCATCTCAAAAGAAGACTGCTTTCTCTGAAGAGTTCATGGGTGGAGTTATTCGTATGTGTAGTTTCGCACTGTGAATAGTTTCGAGAAAATTCACACACTTGCCAGAAAAGTGGATATCAGTAGTGGCTTCACAAGCGTGATTGCACTTGTAATCTTAGATCGTAGTGAGTAGATTTGTGAGATTTGTCAATTCCTGAAAGGAATTAGGAATTCTTCATTGTCACTGAAGTGAAGAGGAATATTGCATGGTATTTCCATTGAAGAAAAGTCTAATTACAACAGCTCAATTTTCAAACGTAGTTACACCGTTGTGTAGCGGAATAGGCCTTAAGTTTTCAGAGTGTGTAGTGAAGCAACTGGATAGGTTTACGTCATTTGACTGTTTAGTTTCATGAAGACTCAAGTGTCGTCAAACCGAAGTCAAATCGGACTTTTTGAGTTGCCACAATAGGCTCTATATTGAGACAATCACTGATGGTGTGCAAAATGGTTGCGAGAGTTCGCCGTCAGCAGAAACCTTTTAGTAAGGATAAAGGGCTGTTATGTCATATTCATTACCCTGTAAATGTACTGGTAGAGTTGTTGATAAGCTACACTACCAGTCGTTAATAGAATAATTAACTTAGGTACCAAATAATTCAGTACTTTATCTAACCTGACGGCAAAACTCAAATTAAAAAGACTCGGTAATCGTGGAAAAGTGTTCAAGTTTGCCATATATTTGAGTAATATAAAAGGTGAAAATTATCCAAGGAAAAAGATCTAGAAGCTATCTAACGGATTTGGCTTTATTACAGACTCAAAGAACCTGTACGTCCCGTAATCATAGATAAATCTGTAGGGACCAATGACAAAATTACCAATCCTCTGTATTTGAAAAATGAGAATAGAACTTAGACACTGAGGTGGAACTCGATTTCGTATAAAATTAAATGTATTCAAAGGTATTGCACCACTACTATTTCACCTAAAGTGTGATTTCAATTGACATGGCTGCGGGCATTAACGTATAGTGCAAAATAAAGTCTACACGAGACGAATAACTGAGTGTATGGGAGCTATAGCAATCGTAGCAGTATTTCTCTTCCATTGAATTATGCCACCAATCACTCTCAGGTCCCATTGATAAGTCAAGCATCCACCTCGTCATGATGAATAGCTTATTTTCAACAAGAATAAGTATGATAAGCAAAATGTTAAGTATATTTAAGTAAAAATGACAACCAGTAAATGTCTGTACGCAATTGCTTGTCGTAACTATTTTGGCGGTGCCGAATTACTGTGACGAGGTTGGCTGACGTTACAGAACTTCTGCAAGTATGTAAATGAAGTGCATTTTTGAATTCGTTGCGGTTAGAAAAAAGTAATGCAAAAGTTAAACGCCTTATATTGCATACTTTTACTGAAGAAGGTTCATTCTCCTTTATCATTCTTTGGTCATGAAAGCATTCTTCTGTGGTTTTCACTATAACATACAGTGTTCCTCTTGTCAATTATAGCGATAAGCAAATGACGCATTGATGTTTTGGGACCATTCTGAACTTTGGAAGATGGTTCACACCTCGGTACCCTTGTTATTATTTACTGTTGGTTCATTTCAAAAAGGCGTGTGTCAATGTAGTTGAAGACTGAACGATCAATTCATGGTTGTTTGCTCAAACCCAACTTCCCTATCAATACACCAGTGGTTGTCTCATCAGTCGCTGTTCAGAAAGCACGCAAAACCGTCAGAAGTAATATCGTGATTTATTATTGTAATGTTTGTTCATAGACCTTAGTTATTATGCTGCTCATATGTTGGTGTTAGAATAAAGAATTCTCGAGTCACCAATCTGTGTTTTGGTTTTTGCGTCCGTTAGTACTAAGCGTTTCTGAAAGGCTTCGAGGGACAGCGAGAGGCCCGGCGTAGCAAGAGCTGAGCATTAACGGTTTTTGAGACGTAATTGACAGCGTGTTTTACATTTATAATAATGTCTTTACTTAGTGAATGTATTTAAGAATCTTATTAGCTAAATAATTGGTCCTTTTATTACCTTCGATTTGTGATTTATTTTTAGGTTGTAATGCTGTAATATTATGTTCATAATTATATTTACGTCTCGTATATTACCATTTGTAGTTAACCGTGTGCTACGAAAGTGTCAACGGTGGAAACAGTCATGTGATTTATGCACATTTCCAAGCACGTCGGCAGTTGTTCCACAAAAACCCTGTGAGGAATACTTCGCTAACACCAGGCTTATACATCTCTACACGACTAAAACTCTCGAGAAATTTGAAAACAAGGTTGCAGCAGGAATGCGACGTTTTTGTGATGTAAATAAACTAAAATTTTACTGGAACAAAAATAATATTTTCCTATAAACATCATTGTCTTTGACTTCACATGCGCACTGTGGGAGTCCGGGATGCTAGACCAGTACTTCCCAAGGTGAGAACTTGCAGGTATACGCAAGCGTAATCCCATACTACCATAGCCAATTCACACGGACTTCAGTTAGGCCTTACATTTCAAGTCTCAGGATAGAAGTCAGTCTCTGTGGTGTAGTATCATTGCGTCATAGGTTAAGTGTATTGAAGAGTAGTTCACTACTTTGACTGGGCACTAGCAACTTGCGTTATGTGTCTAGTCCTTTTCTTGATGCAGATTGAATTCTATTCTGTCGATTACCTCCAGCTTCTACACCTAATCGAGCATACCTGGAAATGTCGATAGAACAGTAAGTTACACTTACCAAAATAAAGCGCATTATCATTTAGGTATCTACATCATGTAATGCTGCGACGCTGTGCAAATATTCATGCGAAGCGTTAATTCACCTAATATGACAAGTTGTGTTAGCACAGAATTTCACGCTACCATTGCAGAAGACGAATAATTGAGTAAATTAAGCAGCACTTACAGGGATCTATGCCACCTAATATCTTTTCACGTTATGTTAATAATTCGAGCCTTAGTGTTGTCATCATAAGAAACCTAGTTCCACTGTAATAGAATAAGACAAATGTGCCCAGCAGGGTGGGACTTATATCTAATGAAAAATAGTAACAAGTGATTCTCTGTATGCAATTGTTAGTTATAATTATTTAGCCTGTATTGAACTGCTGTAACCAGGTTGACTGGTGCTGGATCTCTAGAATTAGACGAATGAGGTGTACCAGTGGTTATGCTACATTTAGAAGAAAGAAATATAAAAGTCACATGATATTTTACTCCATTACTTCCTCTCACAGGAGTTTATTTTTCTTCTTCTGTGGTTTTGACGGCATTTCGCTGTGATTTCAACTGCCAAGTATATTACATTCTTTGTCAAGCGAGCAGACGATGCCTTCATATTTAGTGTCTTTTTAACTTTGGAAGATGGTTTACACATCTAAAATGCATTGATAATGGAATCTTCAGTAGCCTTTACTTTTAAACGATCTAAGCATATCCTATGAATAGTTTTCCATCAAATATTTGTGCCATTAACATTAGCAGATAGTCAAACAATTCAGAATATATTGCCAAATGTTTTAAAGTTACCTAAATTCCATGGGTATTATGGGTGCTGAGGCTGGTGCCTACATCAGAAGGTACTGGCCGAAAACACGGATATATTGGGCTGCATCGTGCAACCGGTTCGCCACCAGCAAGGAAGCAATAATAAAAACAGGTCGGAGAATGCCCATATGCAGCTGAATAGGTATTTATGTAAAGGTAATCCGCTAGAACTGAATCTATGGAAAATATAGAGGCGGATTGACCAAAGTGCCATGAGTAAATTACGTGAGGGACAGTGGAGGCTTTGTAAATATTACAATTACGATGTAAGTTTCAAGATAATTTTCGATTTTTCCTAGGTGCAGTATATATTTCGGCTTCCCACACCATTTACTGCCAAGACAGTTGTTTCAGACTTGCGAAGGCGTTTTTTTCCTCCATTCAATATCCTCCACCTCAATTTATTACTCAGAAGGGAGTCACATCTTCTTCGTAAACAGAAATGAAGCTAACTGCACGTGTTGGCCATACTGAACATATAGTTTTCTGTGCGCGCATGTCGTTGAGGCTTTCTTGTATTCAAACCTAAACTGGAGTATGTTCCTGTCAAGGAACTTATTCTTAAGTTCCTATCGTTACGAAGACGCTCCGAACCGATAAATACTATGTACTTTCTTCGACTTTAACTCCAAAACACCAGTATTGTAAGAAGGAAGTTATATCGTTTGGCAATTAAAGTGGAGAACAGTACAAGTCTATAAACGAATATTTTATACAAAATTATTATGTACTTCTATTCGTTTTCGTTCGTCTTCGTCGAACTTGTACACGATCAAACCATTTGTGCCCTCGAGTTGCCCACCAATGGCTACCAGTTCCAAAAACAAACGTTCTATGTTCACTCCCACTGACAGTTCCCTTTACTCGAATGTTACCCTTAGATATTCTGACTATTAGCGAGAAGTGGACATGTCGGTATGACACCACGGAAAACATTCCGCGTGTCACTCGCTCAAAACCCCAACCAAACAACGTATTTCGGAAAGCTTATAAGCGGTTAAGATGAAGCCTCGTCAGCTTGAACCAAGGAAATCCAGATGCTGCACGGTCGTAAATAACACAGTTCACCAGACAGTTGGTCAGTTTGCTATTAAATTGACAGGAAACAACTTTAGGAATACGACGTGCCTCTGTTAATCGCTTATTTTTGGGAAAATATTAGCATTACCTTATTGTTTCCACTTGTATTCATAATATAAACATGTATGTCTAAAATGCTATTACACTTCCCTTCCCTACATATGCCTAAGGGTAACAGTTTAAAATAGACTTTGGTTGTTTGCTTTGCGATGAAAGCACTTTGGAAGTCAGTTAGAAGTTACACTGGTATGTACCATATTTACTGTTTTATCGCTCACAGATTACTGGTTCCTAGCATATCCTAAATAACTGTGGCTAATACGATCCACCACTTATACCGTACCTTGGTTTAAAGGCCATATCTTACAACAATTCTAAACGAAATCCAACCTACGCGGAAATATTGACTTTTTATGGTAAATGAATACTTTATCTACCTGAAATAAACCCAGTTTTTACTGAAATAACTCGGGTCGTTCTTAATAAGGAGCACTGGACGCTAAGAGGGTTCAAGTAAAGCTGATAAGCTACTTATAAAAACACTTGAAAAAAGAACAGAGTGCTGAATTACTGTCGGTCATACTGATTAAGCAGCACACAGTTCCAGTTTGTGCAAATTATCAAAAAATTACAGAAGGGTTTCAGAGTTTACTCATTATATAGTGTTGGGTTTAGTTCAGAATTAGCAAGATTTAATTCAGCATTATTGTAAACTTAAGAGACTGCAATCAAACTTCATTCTGTTTCATGATCACTCTACTATCCTAGCATAGTATTCGTGAATTAGCTCAGTAATTGCAGGTTTACCATAATCGGCAAGTATCAACTTAATGACTGTGAACTTCAGACTACAAGTAAGCTTCGTATCAGCACCCAGAGAAAAAATTGTCCTCAACACTTTAAAAAATGCAGAACTTCAGGGAAGCCCTCAAATTGCGATGTCGAACGAATTCGCGAAAACATATATGCAATGCATACAGGGCCCAATCATGACCTTGAATCTGGATATACCGACTTTCAACATCTCGACGACATGTAACGCAACCCTCAGTTGCCCCGCACTTTTTCGACAAGTACAAACAATAATAATGCCTGGGATCATAACATGTAGTCTGTCTTTACCTATGTAAAGTGCGCTTGCTGACGTTGTTCCATTACCCTTCCTTGTATATGTATATATATATATATATATCACAATTAAAAAATTGTAGATATACTAACTCTGTGTACAGATTACTTATCATATTGACTATGCCTGTAAACTGGCGTCCCTCATGTACATAAAGTGAGAATATTATTGCTATAGATGAAAACAGTGAAGAGTAGTGAAGGGAACACAAAATAGAAGACACATTGGGACGGTCACTTTAAAGGAGTATTGAATCGGCCTCAACCCAGAACCCGAACAGAAGTTCCACTAGGTGACAGAGAATTACTGCTTAGCACTAATCCTCTGACAAAAGCAGAAGTTTGGGAGGTGACATACTTACTGAAAACAGAGAGAGCAGTGGGTCTAAATTGATTCCCTCCTAAAGCACCCACAACGGACCCATCGATTTTAGTGGACATTCTCGATTAGAAGAAAGGCTACCTTATCAAACAAGTAAAGATGAGAGATGTGAGTATATCCAGAGAATGGCGTGGAATCATGCTCTTGTACACTTCAAGTAAAACAATAAGTCAGACAATCCAGGAGACACTGGAAGATTTCCTGAAGATAAGGCCTCTCCAGCTGCTTCAGAACCACGGCGGTCACAGCAGCAGACATTTATAATCATCATTCAAAAGTTTTGTGATGATGCTGTGTGTCGAATGATTCACAATGATAAGCTCGGAGAAGTAGAGTACAGGAGTAAGACAAGACCACCAAATACCACGGGCGATCTTTCTGAGTGTGTGTACTAAATCATGGTAGACTGTTTAGAATGAGAAAGCTGGCACACATAAGCCCTAAAAGATTTCGCAGATGATTTATGTATGTCTCACAAACTCAAGGATTTGCTAGCAATAGCCAACAAGCTGGGAGAGGAGGCAGGATCGACAATATTTCGGGTGAATGTGTGGAAGAGAGCCAATGAAGACACATAGTAACCAAGATTCACTTATCACTCTCCGTGGAATATTCTAATTTGGTATCATATGCTGATAAAATGAAGCTTTTGAGAAGTGGTAACAGAGAACAGAGTAAAATGGAGATTGATTCCCAGCGTTCCCATCGGAACCTGGTTACCGCACAATAATAGTAAACTTCGAGATTAAACCTGGGCATCTTCAGGGGCCTGTAATATTCAGGAATTTAAAATTGGGTCGGGAGAAATAAGTGGTTTCAGAGCAAAACATGAAAGCATTCCATGAAGTAACTGGTTATCGGTTTAAACCTTATGGAGAAGAGTGGAATTAGTAGTTTAAAACCGTTGGTTATGTTTATGAGAAGCATTCATTCCTTAGCACGTCTCAGACCGTGATGGATTCAAAAAATCCTCACATAATTTTCCTCTCTCCCGCACATTATCATACATTCTTTACACAAGTAGTTTTAACTTCAATGTTTTCATGCGTTTCACCCAGAACCAAGGAGTTCTTATGCGAAGTTGTGTGCTGAAAATCCAGTTGAAATGAGGCGCAGCAGCGTTGTTAAGGTAGTTCAAATATTTTTCCCCAGTCAAAACATTGTTCAGTTGGTCTAGAGATAACTTATATAGCTACTTTTATTTATCTGGTATACGCACGAAATATTACTGCCTTAACTTTGACCATAACTGAAAAATTAGTTCATTCCAATCTCCCGAATCAGTGAGACAACACTGTTCTCACCTTCTAAAAAGAATAGTTAAGTCATGAGAAGTGAAGTGACCCACGGTTTCTTACGCTGGACGCTAGGCTTGTGGCATCGCCCTCATGAGGACAGCTTAGATTTCCGTAATTTCCACGACTGCGAAAGCTTCCACATGATCAGTATGTTAGACAGTTTCCAATGTCACATACACCAAACTCTCATATTTATTCTTTCTCCAAAAGGATGATGGCGAACTTTCACTCGTGAGGCAGACTGCTTGTACTGCGTTTCGATGAACTTTGATTAGGATTCACCCGAATAGTTATAGGGGGATCAAATGGTAATTCAAAAAGACACACGACCATAACTTGAAATTTTGGAGGTTTGTATAAGGTTAGTCTAAGTATTTGTTGTCCTCGTAAATTAGATAGAACAGGTCCGACGAAGTAAATAGTTGAAATTACCTCTTTCTCCATTAGCCAGCATTCTCTTCTACAATTTCTTTAAACATCTTCCCATTGCAGTTTGGGTACTGGACAAACGAGTCCTTTTGTGCATTCAATAAGATTGTTTTGTTTTTATTAATCTTTGTCTCTTTGTTTAGTTTGCTTCAAGGTTGCATATCAGCTGTTCATTAGAAATGGCGTTTTCTTTGGATGATGACAAAAGATGTCAACTAAATGAGGATATCATTAAACAGTTGTACCTTGTTGCTTATATGCAGGGAAGCAAACTGCCCACATGCCTTGTAACCAATTCAAAATGTAGTAAAGTTCAAGTTCGGGGAGATGGGCGAACCGCCGTTGGTGAGTTACATTACACTAAGGCTTATTTCAATTGAAATGGCTAATATGGATTTGTTTTTTCTCTTATCGGCCCAAATTGTTAAGACGAAGTTACTTTTTTTGTTTTTATTCCCCATGGATCACTGGTTATTGTCTATTGCACTTATCCGTTTTCGTAATGCTGAACTTCCTTTAGGACACCTGCGTCTTTGATACAAACTAATTAATATATTGTTTGGGTTTATGGCGTCGCAGTGATTGTTTCTTGGGAGAAGGTTTTCTCTGTGCTTGTGCACAGTAGTCACCGTTATCACTGAGAAAAAGCATTTTAATCACTTCTAAACAAAATAGTAAATGTCATTTTTGCACTCTGTCAACTTGCCTACGATATGTTAAACTAGCCTGAATATTAGGTCATAAAGTAACGTGTAAAAATCTAATGTACAGTTGTCTTTGCGTCCATCTGCCAGTACATAGGGTATTTAACTGGCAAACGGTGTTTTGCAACGTTGAAAATATTACACGTTAATGTTCACTAATATGAAGAGTAAATTACTGGTTCATTATGTAAACTACATTGTGACAGTATCACTTAGTGAATAACGTTTATATGAATGCGTCTACCTGCTACTAATATCCACAAATTAATGAACACAGTAATTGTCAAACAAAAATTTTCATTTACAGTACATTAGTCTCAGTGATTTGCAAGATTTTCATACTAATTTCACTTAATACTAAATGCAAACTCTGCAAGTATATATAAGTTGTGGAGGTAATTGGTTACTAAATGAAACATTAATTGATCCCCTCAATATGAAGTGTGTCTCATAACATCAGTGCATTGAATTATTTCAAACTAGTCATTCAGTTTATTTAATTGATACTTGATAATTATATCAGCTGGAGACTGTATGAACAGGAACACCAACATGATTCTGTATTATTTAACACTTCGGTCCTCTGATGATATTTATAGTTCAAGTTCATTATTGTTTATGCCTAATTTTTATCATTCATCATAATTTCATTGCTACATAACAGTGACAACGAGTCACACTCATAGTATGAGGTCTGGTGATAATTACCGGTTGTTCAGGTGTGTAATTAAGTGGTTAAACTAATGAATTACGAATCCAAAAATAAATGTTAACTTCAGCATTAAGCATTTGGTCTGCAACTCTGCATCTCAAGAAGTATTTTTTAAACTTTACATTGGAAGCCTTTAATCAGTACAAAATATTTCCTTTCTTTATCATAAAACCACATCCGTAGTCGTTGAAAATCGTTTGATAGTTTTAATACGTATATTATTGTTTGAGTGTTAACCAATCTGTTTAAGGATGTCACGTCACCCCTCGATACTGCAAAATATTAAGTTGGAGAAATTAATACATCTTACGTCAGTGTACTTCACTAATTTTTGCATAGGTGTAAATAAGAGCACCTTTATTTTTGTGGATCTAAAATAAACAACTGAAATCAGGTAATTTCCAGGTTCTACATTCTCAGGGCCTCATAATAATCAGACACTTTTAAAATCATCTTTCTAGGGTTGCAAGCACAAAGAAAGCATGAGCTTCCCACACACGTTTAGCAATACTGTATTTCGGTCCCCATACACCAAACTTCGCATTATATACAGGTAACTTGCAAGCGAAAATCAGCAAACTGGTTGAAGATGCATCGAAAACATGACTGCAGGTGAACACAGAGAAGACGGAGGTGATGAAGATAACCAACCAACAGCAACAACAACCAGCACTAATCACCATCAACTCGAGAGATTTAACAGAGGTTGCCTCATTCTTTTATCTGGGAAGCACCTTTTCAACTACAGGTGGAACGGACGAAGATGTCAAAGTCAGAATCGGAAAGACAAGATACGCGTTCATCAACTTAAAACCAGTTTGGAAGTCTTCCGCACTCACCATAAGGAACAAGATTCGCATTTTCAACACCAATGTGAAGTCGGTTCTTCTATACGAGTCAGAAACGGCGTGTGACGAGTAGGATTTCCAATGGGCTGTAGACTTTCTTCTATAGCTGTTTTCGCTGCATACTGAAGATCAAATGGCCAGAAGAGATAAGCATCAAGAAACTATGGGAACAAACCATCCAAGAACCGATCGTTCAGCAAATATGTAGGAGTAAGTGGAGATGTATCTGGAATACATTAAGGAGGCCGCTGAGTGACATCGCACGCCAGGCCATATCTCGGGTGATGAGTGGGTCGTCCTAGAGTGACTTAAAGGAGATCGTGTGAGGAAAATATGATAGAGTTTGGTCAGTTGAGGACCCAGCTGAAGAGGACAGCAGAAAACAGAACAAAGTGGATATGTGATGTTGAAGTTCCACTCGGAACGCAAAGGAATAATAACATAACTTTTTGTTGAAATGTTTCTACCCTATCATTATCCATACTGCAGATCACAGTTTTAAATATTTCATTTTAAGTCAAGCTACAGGCTCCGCTAATGAAAACTTTAGCCGCCAAGCTCTTGAATTTATGGTAGATTTTATAGCATACATGTAAGGCTCATGTGTGGTCGCTTTGTTTACCTAATTTACCATCAGCCTAATGTATGTACTATTTATTTCTTACATAGGACGTACATAACCAGTCTTCCTGATCTTTCATGTGCTGTTATGACACGGGTATTTGAACAAAATACACTACTGAGCTGAATACCAGCCGACACCTGTAAACTACCTATAGAAACTAAGAAAGACGATACTGTACTGAAGATGAAACAACGAAGAGCTAAATGTTCAGATGTCATCGTTACAGGTAAAGATTCTAACATACAGGTAAGGCGACTATGTCAAACATTAAGGTGCTTGTCCATAAAACCGATAATTGTTATTACCATTCTGCTTTCAGAATCTAGACAGCATCGATTTCAGCTGTGAAAAGGGATATTAAATGTAACTGAATATTGTAGAGAAATCGGTAGTCGTGAATTGTTTTTAGATAATTTGTTGTAACATTCAAATAAAAACCGATTTATTCTATATCTTACTTATATTGCAATATGGTAAAGCAACTTCATCCTATTTTCTTCTCTCAATATCTTCACTTTTAGACATGAGATCTCATGTACATCAAACTGTTTTACCAGTAGTCATTAAAGCTGATAATCCGATTCCAGTCTCATGCAGTGTTTACTACTTTGAAGTAACTGTCAATGTTAAAAGTCGATCTGGGTAAGTTCGGTTGTATTTATTTTATGCTGCTTAGTTGGAGATTATTTCACTTTTTTTTTCACTTTTTCCTTATTTATTCCTAAGTGTTGTTTTCGTGAATACTTTCTAAATATTCTATTCATAAGTATGGTATTTTAGTCTCATTATGAACTTGAAGACCTGATATCAGCTAAAAAGATGGAAGGTCAAAACAGCTGTTTTGTGTTAACTTAAAGCTCTTCAATTATGTATATGAAGGACCCACATGTGTCATGTAGCAGACAATCGTCCGGTTATCCGGCTAATACAAACACCATTTAGTCGTTCGGCTGGAATTCACTTCATGATTTTTATTCTCTAATATGCAACTCAATGATTCCTTGTAGGTTTATGCGTATGATGATAACGCGTACTTAGCGTGTGAAGACCAGTTATACCATCTAAGTAAATGGAAGAAGTTTTGAGCCAGTAACCCATATTTTACCAGTATTCTACTTTAAATTACTCTTATACTCCAAACTGCCATAAGTTGAACATCATGAGTCGTAGAATTTAAATTCAATGATGAGTGGTAACATAAATTTCAGCCTAACGATCTTGGTCTAGATTCCTCATGGAGGGAGCAATGTTTGCTTGTAAAACACCCCAAAATAAAACTTCAGCACTTCGTGTGTTTTAAGTCACTTCTTAACTAGTGTGAGTTTGTAACAAAGTGTAGCCTGAAGTCGACTATGTCTGTGTACATCTAACAACTGAATCTCGGTAATTATTTGTAACATATTCGACTTAAGCAGTCAAGCTGATTTCTTATGCTTTTTTCAATACTTCAGAATCGATACCATCAACTAGGATACTCTGAATAGCACTGATATTGGTAAAATTAAAAAAACAAACTTTTCTCGACGATATCCCATCTGAATTTCTATTTGTCACATACAGATCATAGTATAGAGAACAGTTGAATAATGAAACAAAATGAATCAGTAACAGAAATATTCTCATACGATATATTCAAAATGACGTCCTTATCACCGAGAAGATATAAAAAACTCATCTAATTTAGTCTCAGAGGCATGTCTGCCGTCATCTGTAGTCACTTTGTTGTGTGGTTCTTTGAACCTCGTTTGTGGAATTGTAGTACACAAACAGGTGCTGACTATGAATACATTCACTCTTCATGAAGTCACAACATTATTTGGTCGTCTACATTCCCGGGATGAATACCAAGATGTGTTATCTACGGCCATGCTACCGAAACTACTGTTTCAAGAAGAATTCATTTATTAGACAAAAATTTATTTTAAATGCTTGCCTCCAGGTCTCAGAATTATTCATGTGCTATTGCGGCTATGTGGATAACGTCTACATGAGACATGAATTTCACTACAGTTTCAAATATCATTTGTTTTGCAAAATACGCTAGAAAGTATCATATCCAACTGCTGATTTGCGGTATTCATTCCATTTCACCTATTAGGGGGGATCGTGTCAATAAAGCCTTCAGGATTCACTTCTTTTCCTTGATGGCTATCGATTAAATCTAGGATGCGTATTTCGTGATATTTGGGACTCGTCAACTGGATGTGCCTACCCGCTTACCTTCTAGAGTGAGTGTTGGTGTTCCCATTGATAATGGAAGCTGTCTCCCATCATTTCAAACGTCAGAGCGTTATCCATTAGACTTACACAATGTCTTAAGATATCCACATTTCACATATGTAAAAGCCTAAAAGCAGAATACAATAAACTGTAGATCAGTTTACAGTAGATTGTTGTGTTTTAGTACATATTAGAATAAATCATGTCCTTATTGCGGTCAGTTATCTCTTAACATTTAATTTAAACAGGTACACTGAGGTGGTAATGATGGATCGATCGATTGTTGATATCGAAATGTAGGTCATCTAGTCAACAGTTGATGCATAGTTTACGGATAATTGTGGAATTTCGCAAAACATATTTTTTGATGCGTGTCTGAGTGTTTGTTTTAGTTGGTATATATATATATATATATATATATATATATATATATATATATATGTTACACACACCTACATACATTGTCCTATCCCCAAAATCTAAGTCGTGTGATTCTCTCTAATAGTGCATTCCATTTATCCATTCATTTACTGTGCTAATGCGTACGTGTTATGCGTGTAACTTGTGGACAGAGAATTCCTTCATAAAATAATTTTATTGTTTGTATCTTCGTTTGACATTTTTATGGAAGGGTCATGTGGTTTTGGTTGAAGAGAAATTGCAGGTAGACGCAAGCTTATAATTATATGAAGTATTTTCTCCTTCCATATATATATATATATATATATATATATATATATATATATATATATATAATTTGATTGACGTGAAGAATTGGTTACAAATTGTCTTCATTTTAATGAATTATAATTTGTTAAGTAGTAGTGGATATCCATTACAAAAAATTGGGCAGTTTGCACTTCACTTAATCAGAGTATTTCACACATCTCTGTATTTCATTCATATTGTATGCATGCCTGAAAATGTCTAACAGTACCTATTCATATTCATAATAAATCAGAAATTTTCAATAACATTATCACTTATTTTGTTGACTATGATTTATTCCAAATAGGAATCCTACTGCATGCACATATACACTGGTTAATTAGTGTATGAGAAAGTGTGGAGTGATTTGTTGACCAACATGGGGTATAAGTGGTCAGTTGTTTTATACAAATGGTTTGGTGTAGTTTTCTTCCCTGACCTGCACTTTTCGATTACGAAGCCTTCATCGTCTTCCTAGACTGTATCTTCAGCGCTAATTTCAAGGTGTAGTGAGTGTAGTAATCACTTCTTCAGATGAACCTGAATGTGACTATGGTGATTGTCCTATCCTCTTATTTACGTGTGTTGGTCTTGATTATCATTAGTCTCTTGGGTTCCGAGGGAAACAGCAGCACGTCCCCATTTCACCTAGTTCTTTGTAATTTTTTTTAGCTAGCTCCACGATTGCCCATACGGTTTCATTCCCCCCCTTAAACAACCTTCGTGTAGTTCTCATAAAAAAACATTGGCCAATTCTTTTCCAATTTGGATTCTCTTGGTCTACTCAGCGTGTCCGATCCATCTCCATTTTCATATTTGTTGGGTGATAGTTCTTCCTATGACTCGCTTCCAAAGTATCCTGTTAATCTTTCCTGGCCATCTGATACTCCGTATGGAGCAAAAGCAGATGTTGATACAAGTTTGCAGCCTTTTGTCCATGTGACTTCTTTTTCATTGCTTAATTGCTATCCATTATTTACTTATTGATTGCAGATTCATCTAAGTAACAGGCTTATAGAAATTCCCTGGTATTCTTGATGTTCCCTTTGTTTAAGATTTGTCCATTTTTTCAGGTGACATGTTTGCCATGAACAAGTGATTATGATGTCATTTGACCGTTAGTTTAAGCTCGTGATGTTACTTCTGAGGATGTTGTCTAGGAAGACAGTGAAAGCTTATCAATTAAGTCACACAGCTCAGAGAGCACAACTAAACTACATATGCTCTTCTCATGACAGTTGTAAGATGACGTTATAGGACAAATATCTTTCAACTATTAGCTCGAGTGCATAAAGCGAAATAGAAGGAATATATCATAAACTAAATGTTTACTATTCATAATCCCCTAAACTATTTCATCCATCAATTAGTTCAAACAAAGCTTTCGAGATCTAGTGCTTATAACTGGAATGTTATTTGTTAGACTGACAGCTGCCTTGATGAGCATTGTATCCTACTTAATGTGTCAGACGTGATGTTTTCCAGTAATTTTCGCTTGTTGATAAGATCTGAGATAACTTCAGTTTTCATGATGTAATTCCAAGGACTGCTGATTCAAATGTCGCTGCAGTTGAATTTCAACTTCAAAGCGCACTTCACCTATTGAAGTTTGGTTGACCAAAGAGCATACTTACTGAAAAGAAGAAGATTGATGAAGGCAGTTATATGGACAGATTACCTTTGACACTAATGAGATAGCAGACCGTGCATTGATTTTCCAGTTAGCAAATAATATGATCAATCTGGCATTAGACATTTTCGCTCGATGTCTGTTGTTGTTATTGGTTCTTTTTAGAGTTGTAACTTTCCTCGAGCATTTCTTATTCAAGGGCTATTTCATGGATAGACGAAGCATCACTATTTCTTTGAAGACATCACACTATATACCACTGAGATGAAATCTACATAATTAGCATACACTTAACTACCACGCATACAACACTTTTAATACATCGCTTAATATGCACGGTGTTTGAATTACATGTTATATACATTGTTTATATTCACGTATATATTTAATTGCTAGGACTGCTTTTATGTTTAAAAACAAGGTTCTCTCCCCATCTTCAATCGGTAGATATGTTGGATCTAGGCTAACTAAACATGTCATTGTCTTGACACGTTGGTTAGGCAGAAGGTAATCCTCCGTCATATGAAAGAAATTACTGTCATTTCTAGGTAGAGCTTCCGCGTTCGAAGTAATGAATGCTGAGTTCGAATATTAGTGCTAAGATGATCACTCACTCCATGGGCAAGGGGGGATTGGGCAGGCACACTCACCTAAGACTTCCTAAATACAATGAAACGCATGTCTTGGATTCCATTGCTACCTACTATATCAACCAATTAAAAATCATTGTCAGGGTGGACAATTTGTCATGCATTGACTTCTTTAAGGAAATGATGTACACACAAATTTGTATTTAATGGGTAATTTTCAAAATTCTAATGTCAGAGGAGGGAATATGATTACAACCCAGAATTTTTTTCTTTCTTTCTCTCTCTTGAAATTTACTACCTATGCAATCATTTAGTCACAATTTGTTTTGTTTTATTTCGTTATCTTTTTTTGGTCTTCATTTGTTTTATTCTCTAGTCTACTTGCTTTGGGTGTGTGTTCTTCACGTTCATCAACAAATGAGTGGCCAGGTAAGCTGGTTTATTTATTGATTCAACTGTTTTTCCTCTTTTTTTCTGTCTTGTATATTCTCCAGTATTGATTTTCAGTCATTGATTATGGGAACAAAGTAGTATATATTTATATATATGAGTCTGTTAATGTTCTTTGTTCCTTTTCTTGTGGAATCTTCATTTGTCATTTAGATTTCTAGTTTTCAAAAAAGAAATAAATAAATAAACAAATTCTGGTCATCATGACAAACAGATTGCATATATCTTTTTCTCAGATTAAGAAACAATGGAGAAGTAATAATACAGAAATAAGCTACTCTCGCGGATTCTTAATTTTAATGTCACTGAATTAGGAAATTGTACTAATATGACATGCCCTCATATATACACACATAACACACACCTACGTAGAGTTGAAGTAGTTCTAAAGCATGTTTATGCCTGTAATTAGTGAACTAAATGTCCTTAGCCTATTGTGGTCTGATCCAATGTAATACATCTTAGTTATAATAATAAGTTTAGGCAGTCTGTCGTGTACATCTGATAATACTTTCATGTGTTAATCAGCTATGTATGTTCCAGTGACTTTGGAAGCTGTACTATATAAAATGAATGTTTCTTGGGGTTTAACTATGTTGAAAGTATTTATCAGCTGTCACTTAGCACTATAATAGCATTTTGTTGCTTACGGAATGATATGGGATGTCATCGAATTGTTTCCCTTCAGTGATGAGTGTCCCAAATATGCTGCGTTTTCGTTACTGGGAAGGTGTTGGCAAAGTCCTGTCTCAGAAATTGAACACACTGGTTGTCATTGGAGTTTTTCACTGCCAGTCATGAGATTCTTTACATTATAAAGTGTGTGACTAATCCTCTTTGGTTCTACAATCATATGAAACTAATCTTTTCTGCTTTTGGGTACTTTAAAAAGAGGTCAACGTGGACGATGAATACGCCAGAGGGTTAGTTATTACGTGCACATACACTTCTGTTAATTCTCAAATATTCAACTGTCGGGCAGTTTTGCTACTAGTTTCTTTCATGTCTCCCTTTTCACGTTCTCTTACCAATTATTCTCCTTACCACCTTCAACTTCCACTTTCTACAGTCTTTCTTTGCCTAGAGTAAAGCAAATTTTTACAGAAGTATAAATTCAGGACAATTGACAGGAGTTTAATGGCTATTTACTGCCTTCGTCCAACATTTACTATATACACTATCCCTGAATGTCCATGACTGAGTAGTACGAAGACGGCTGTACAGCTGTCAAGGCTTCTGAAGTTGTTGTTACTCAGAGACCACTTGCACTTCATCCATTTAGCAGCGAGCCATATCTGTTGTCTGAAAGCTAGTGATGCAACCTTGGTACCGAAACCTCTCGGTAGGTGGAGTGGTGTCGCAACCTGTGAACTGATAGCTGCTGGTTGAAAATTGACCACCTAATCCAATGAACCATCATTCCACAATGCCTCTACTATTTTTATGTGAACATTTGAATGAATTCGTTTTGAAGAAATTTTTTTTCTTCTAAATTGATGTCGGCTAGAGATGCTTGAAATTATTGGACTGTTGGACTTCAACTTGTTGTCTTTAACGCCTACTTCCTCATGACGCTAAGGGTATATGCTGTTCAATTAGCTCAAACTAGGAAAAAACCTGTTTTTAGTGCTTTTCAGCTTACAGTGTTCCTTAATTGATGCTGCTTGAGACGAGAATTACTTTAATTATTTCAGCAGGTGTATTCTGAATTTTCTATGGATATCACAATTGAGAACTTGACCGCATAGAGATTCGGCTGATAAATAGTACAACTGAGTTATACCAAGATTTTCTCTATTGTCTTTTTTCTTTTCTATATTGCTTGAATAGGCATGGAGTTCACTTCATACGGTTATCATAGTAATAGTGGGACAATTTATCATAATTCAAAGGAGTTACCAGTTTCAGCGCCTGGTTTCAGTGAAACAGATATCATTGGTTGCGGTGTTAACTTTGTTAATAATTCAGTATTTTTCACAAAAAATGGTGTCTTCATAGGACCTGTTAATGCTGGTAAAAAGTTGGTAAGTTTTGTTAATGGTAATGTTTATGAAATTTATAATTGAGTCAATAACTTGTTCCAAGACTATACACCGCCTGTCAATCGATTCTTAAATTCTAATTCAATAATTCTGAACATCCCAATTGGTATTCGACGTACTGAGCTAATTCTAGTGCCAGCGAGGTATATAGCGGCTTATTGGTGTGACTGGCCTTTGTGCTGTTCAGCACTTCTTTTTTTTATCTCACTTCAGTGTTATATGACTTTACCATTAAAAGCAGATGGTCATACTATTGGCTACTTGTGGTAGAACCACAATATGAGTAATTTTAAAATTAAGAGAACAGATCTGAATGAAGAAGACCAAAATACTGGGTGTGATTGTCAATTTTAAGTGACTTAAATGGCTAAAACACTTATTACAAAATATGGTCTGCTACCTCTCTAGAAGAAGAGTTATTGCTGGGTGAAGTGAAAATAAAGTTCTACCAAGATTTGACGTTATTCAAATGAAAACATGCCACCAGTTTTTGACTGTTCGTCTAATCCATTCAGAGAGAGGCATTAGTTAAATGAACAAGCCCCATAGGATTGTAGAAATTACTAGTTTTGTCTTATTTTAGTGCAAAACAGGTAGAACTGATTCTATAAAATGAAGACAGTCGATGCTGACTTTCAACAGCTAAGGTTGTTTTACACCACGTTGTACAATTGAAAATGAAATTATTTAAGGCAGCACGAACTTTTTCCCAACACATTTAAAAGAACTCGTCCTAAGTGTTTGTTAAAATATTGTCTCCAAGGTTGATGTTAGGCCAGTTAATATGATCCCACTCATATATATAACCTGGTTCAACCAAGCGTGAGTATTATCTGGTATCCTCGATGCATCGTCAAGTGAACACACTCATGACATCTGTCAGATTAAGCATATTCACTATCTGCACTTGGCGTAGAAGGAGTTCTTACTTAAGCGAAGGGATGAATGCAAATGTTTTACACTCATCATTAGATTTGTGGATACAAAGGGTTCTTCTAAGGGGGGGGAGTTAGATAACTCTGACTATACTTAGATTTTGCACATATTCCCAAGAATACTAAATCACCAAGTGGTGTGAGAATTTGTTCTGGACATTGGCAACAATTCAACACAACCTTTGGTGCTGTTTTGCTGCATACCCTCTGTTAGCTAGAAGAGCTGAAGTGCATCTTTGGTTTACCCAACATGTCTGTCTGTCTGTCTGTTTTCGACATAGAACTTTGCACCGATGTGCAGCAGTTCAACTTGCCACACTCCATGTAGCACACAAATCAAGAGAAGAAAGTAGAAGAAATGCATAATAGAGACAATGAACAAAGGTGAGAGACAAAGCAATAGTAATAATGAAGAAGGATATAGTTTAATTTGAAATAATAAGTCACAAGGAGTGGATGCATCTGCACCAGCCATTGAGAACGATTTTGAGCCATATCACCAATTGTTTCCAGCCATTGGTTTTTACCGTCCCAAGGACCCCAACCAGTCACGAAGTCCACACCTTCCTACGTGGCTGGCTTAGACTAACTGTTGTAGATTTCATTGACTAGTGCCATGTTTTGGTTTTACCACCACTAGCTAGCTCATTTCCAGCCTGATCCATTCTGTGTCAGCTAACATTGCCCATTGTTGAGGAAGGCTATGACAAGGCAAATGTAACACATGTCCTAACCATCTCAATCGATGTAACTTCACAGCCTCGTCGATTGATTTCCCCTCCTTGCCTAGCACTCTACCGGTGCCTCACCTCAATATTGCTCACCTTATTATACTACTTCACACAGGAGGTAGAACGCAGGCACCTATGATCAAAGACAGTTAATCTTTTCATGTCTTCCACCCTCAATGGCCAGGTCTCGTTCACAGCCATAAAGGAGGACGGAGCGGACTTCTGAGCAGTATCCCCGTCCTTTGGTTGATAGCCAGCCGGATGTCACGTCTACTAAGCCAGAGATGGCGTAAACTGGCATATGCGAAACTAGTTGTCTGTATCCGTGCTGAGATTTCGTCAGAGACCAACCCGTTGGCACTGGCTGATGGTACTTCCCAAATAGGTGAAGTGGTCAACATGCTCTACCACTTCACTCCTTATTTATGAACTAGGAGTCAGTGTAGTCTTACCCAACATAAACTCTTAAGAAAATATATGCATGTGAAGGAAACGAAATGAGTGCACATTGGTTTTGTTTCATTAGTCTCTCAGTGTGGCAGTAATGTTGTACATGAAATGTAGACTTGGAAATGTGGCAGTTAGTCCTCAATGAAGTGATCGTTGCATGTCTTCCATCTCTGAGCAAAACAGTTATAACTCATTTCTGTCCAGTATTCTTTGTCTGTTAAACTTTATCCATCCTACTAATACTTGAGTGCATAAGCCGGGTTATCTTGTTACTTTTGACAAGAAAGTGCATACAGCTATTGTTGATGATATGGCTGTATTGTCTTCATCGACGGTACCTGTTGGGCAACGCATCCTCTTACCGAATCTCTCTCTACAAATTTCAATATCAGCAACTGAGTATTTAGCAGTAGGTGTAACATTTGCGTTTAATATGTAACACTAACAACAATACTTGTCAATATTCTTTCTATATTTCAGCCGCATCCAGTATACCCATGTATTGCTTTTGCCTGTCCTAATTGTCATGTCAGCATCAATTTCGGTCATCATAAATTTGCATTCGATATTGGTCAGTATATTAGTCGTGAACGTGCTGTAGCAATAAGTACAGCAGTTGATCGTAAATGTAACGATCAATTAGCATATGTTACGATGAGAAAGTGAGTTTTGTTGGTGGACAATTGATTTTTATTTTGTTTATGTAATATGTGTTGCTTGAAGATGAAGTTAAAATCTGAGTCCTTAACAAGATAGGAACCAACAGTCTCCGAGTCATTTGCTTATCTCTTCTCTTTCTCTTTGGACTATTGACACAATTTTAACGCCCTGACGTCTTCATTGAATAAGAAAATACAAATGAAGTTGTTAGAAATCCTTTTTCGGTCAACTCTATTGTTTTACTAAGGTGTTGGTTCTCGGTGTGAAACCTTCTTTTACTTTCATGGGTATACACATGGCATTCGATAAAATTCAGGGTATTGTTTTTTAGTGTGAAGACGTCTGCTCTTTGTCTTTCAAAAAACAATTTTTTCTGGAAGTATAGAATAGTTGAAATTACCATTTTTTTTGCGCAAACGCCATTGTCTCAACCAAGCTGTTGAACAAAGCTGGTACGTGTGATATTTACGTGTGTTGTTTTTGTCGTGTGTAATGTGAATATCTCTGTATTGTTAACACGATTGTCTAGGCTTTTCATAGTGCAAGCAGTTTTAATCAGGTTCTATCTTTCCTACGGTCTCAAACATTTATTTGACGTGGGCTAGGGCACATTTACATGTCTTTAAAGGTCAAATATCGAGTGCTGTAAAGTTGGAAAAAATCCGTTGATAACTATTTCAGAGTATTTTCAGAGATTTGGCTGCAGGCTAAATCTTCCCGGTGTATACTCTCTTAGCCGTCCAAGTAAGACCTGAATATCGTATCGTCTTCAGCATGGTGATATTATTAATAATCACAATCAAGTACACATGGATTGTGAATATAAGATCATTTTTTGAAGATGTTCTCTCATAAATGATTTCTCTTCATCATTAAGTGATATATTATATACAGGCGATAATTTTGTTCGGTGTGTAGTGAATTGTTTTCAAACATCCATTTTCACACTAACTTTTCTCTTACTCATGAATAGATACATGTCTGCTTGAGTAGGCAAATATTTGCTTTCTAATTAACATCCAGGGTATTGATGATTATTTCGCTACATCATTATGGCATACTAAATAATAATAATCTGAAATTCCTCAATGTAATTATATTTATTTTTGAATAGTATTTTATTTTGAAAAGAAAACAAAAAAGAACGAAGTTGTACTTCAGTCAGTTTTGTATGTTCACCCTCTCTCTCTCTCTCTCTCTCTCTTACACACAAACACACACACGTGTATATTTGATTAATTAAAGATAAGAAAACAACACCTTGTTTTTCTTCTATCTAATATTAACTATCTTTTTTTATCAAGCTGGTGTCTGAATTACTCTCTCAGCAGCTGAATTGCTAGTTTGTTTGCTCGTAGGTGTGTGTGTGTGTGTTTGATCACGCGCACATACAGTTCGTTATTTTAGTATTAGTGTAATAGTTAACATATTATGAATTTTTAGTTTAAAACTGAATCTCCCTTTGTGAGGGTGGTTCGTGGTAGTGGTAACAGTGGGGGTTAACTCATCTTCAGTCGGTGATGACATTTTGTATCGAATGTGTGCTATACGCAGATAAGTTCAGAGGAACTACATGTAACAAAGATGTACAACGGAAAAAAGGTAATCAGAAAATTTAAGAATCTGGATGATGACTATGAGTGAATTTATCTGCACCATGGGGAACGATTTTTAAGCCGTGTCATCAACAGTCTCCAATCATTAATTAATTCTTAACACCTTGAGGTCTGAAATCAAACTGCTGATAATTTCTCTACGTGACTTAAGCTAAGAGTCAAAAACTTCATGGATCGATAGCATTCTTTTGATTTGACCAACCCTAAATCTTCTCCAAGTTATACCATTTTGCACCTGAAACTGCTTGTCGTGGAAGGTAGTGTCTGGGTATCTGTGACATGTGTGTCTTGGTCATCATCCGAATCGATACAACCTCATTGATTAACTTTCCCACCTTAACTAAAACTCTCCTCGCCTAACCTCATTATTACTCACCATATTATGTTAAATAATTGGAGAAATACTGAAACGGTTATTCTTTCACCTTCAACAGCCAGGTCTGGTGAATGCAAAGTGGAACGGAGTGAACTACTGCACAGTAAATTCTTGCCTTGATGAACAGGCAAATATCCCGGCGTGGGCACAATGGTGACGCAGGTCGATGAATGCTAACAGCGCACATTTTGTATGATTATTCAGGTGCATTCAATTGAAGCCAGTACAACTTGTCAAATAAATGAAGAAGTTAGCATGCCCCACCGGTTCACTCCCTACACAAACACCAATCTTCCAGCATCATCCTAAATTTGACAGCTTATCTATTGCATACCCAATATACTGCGATTTTCTCGCCTCTGGATGATTCTGGTTAGTGAAAAATCCTACCTTGGAATTTTTTATGGGCTAACTGCCCTAGTTGGATAATTTAGAATCAGATTGAAAGTCCTACAATGTATAAAATGTATTTATCTACCTTCTATCTAAAAAATAATTCGATATCCTGGCAGTAGAACCCCTATCATTTTGGGTAATGATTCTGTAATGTTTATTCTCCATTCGTTCCATGCGTTAAATAGCATCTGTGTTATCCGAATACAGTCGACATATCTGGAAGCATTTAACAATTTTCCATTTGGCTTTATGCTCACATTTCCTAATGGCCACATAAAAGTGCATATATATATATATATATATATAGCAAAGTTCTGGTCACTTGTGGTTCATTCGTGCACATATATATATTATATATGCACTTTTATCCTTTTGCCTAGATTATTAGATGTTTGCACATGCCTACTAGGGGATAACCTCTACTCCTCTTAGCTTTTTTATCAATTAGATTTGTTTCTGGTGTGTTCATGATAAACATTTTCAGAAGTGTGGAGCTGTAAATATTAAATCGATAACTGGGGACATCACTCGTACCAAATTCCCATGAAACTTCATGAACTCTCTTACAAATTGCCGCGCCTGGGCAGCGATGATTCGAGACGTTCATGAAGCCGGCTCATCCTCCCGTAGGAGATAGCCGAAGTAAAGTAAAAGTAAAAGTAAGTAATTAAGTTTGTCAGGTTTAATTCGGTTTATAACTTATCTACTATCCAGCTTTGCATCACTTGATAGTGCCACATTAGCCCTCTTACAATATAGGTGGCTTACAGCCTTGGGCATGAATATGAGTTATACAGTTAAATTTCGTACAGAAATCCACTTATTCAAGTTGTCACATATTAGAAGGGAATAGGTTATGGGCCATACTTATTGTTTGAAGACAAATGATACTATTCAGTGGGTGGAGCGAGTTTTCAACTCGGACTCTATTACAAGGTATCTGATTGATTAAGCCAATGAAACATATCACAACTTGTTGTAAGATTGTGGCAATACTGTTAAGAATCGTTCATAATTATGGTGCAGATGGATCCATTTTTTCACCCCTGAAAACTGACATCAATCTTCATGAAATTGTCCCCCATCTGTCCGCGTCTTTCCATTCATTTTTAATGTAGTGCAGTCGTGATATTTTGGTGTCATTTGTTGCTATCCACTTTGTTTTTGCGTGCTTACTTAAAGTGTTGTAACATTAAGTGACACACTAAATCTTCAGTTGTTCCGTTACCCTGCTAAATTTCTAAAAGGCGTATTTGATTGTCACAAATATTTAAGGGTTGGTAATTAAAAGTAAAATATGAAAATCTAGGACGCGGGGTGATTCGCAGCAGCGGTTACTTCCTGCTTAGTAAGTTGCGATTCGCGAAATTAAGAACACATAAGTCAGCGAAGAGATCACTTTTCGTTTATATGTAAAATGTCAGTTGACATCGAAGTTTGGAAATTACTTTCAGTTAGTATCAAATCAAATCCCTGTAAACTAACACGAATGTAAATCAAACTGTATACGAAATTAACAGTGTGTGAAATACAGTAAATAACACATGATCAAAGGAGTTGATAACTAATCAGTTAAGTAGCGAAAATAATTGTTAGGAGACAAGACATCAAAGAGTTGAAAATGTGTTACGAAAAAATTCTAGAAATGAAAGGATTACATGGAGTTTATTGCACAACAAACTAAGGAAATAAAATTGACACTAGTGCCATGGTAGTAGGTGGCTGGATAAGACGTCCCTGAACACAAATTTCAGGTGATTCGAATTCTACCACCATTCCAATTTTTATTTGACCTTCAATCACCACCCATTACTTGCAGCATTACCACCTGATCTTGATCAGCTGATCCATGTACTGCTGCCTTGTGTAGTAACAAATCAGAAATCATTATTATGATTATTACTATCATTATTCAAGTGTTGGTTTGCAGGGATTTGATTTGATTGGTTGCAGGGCTTCATCACGAGCTGACATCGGTTAGGGAACCATTGGAAAACTCGGGAGTACTGGACAACTGCTTCGTCCTAGTTTTGGGACTCTTTGACAGTGCTCACCCAAGGGGTTCTAACCCAGGAGCTTGCGTTTACAAGGCGAGCTCATAGACCGTCTAACTATTGGGACCCGATCCGACGGCCCATGAATCCAAACTTCTGCTGATTCATTATTGCTGGGTGTAAATGGAATGCGGAGAATGTATATCCGACTAATGATGGCACTCTAATAGAACTCAAAAAGCCGTAAGCACTTATAGAGGATCATCACCTGGAGTGATGATAACAAGTGTTGTCCGTCAGGGATGCTCACTGTCCCCACTTTATTTTAATTTAAGGATAGATGAACTAATGAAATTGGACCTGACTGAATTTAGCGACTTAGGGATTCACTTGTTACCAGGGTACAGTATTATCAACTTAGAATGTACGGATGACATTTTCCACGTAGGTGAAGGCACTGAGTAGAAATCTCCACGCGTTCAGCATGTAAGTTGGCTCTTGTCAAATGCGAGACGATGGATGCTACGGGACTGGAAGGTACCGACTTCCAGCTTAAAACTAGGGTGTAAAATGCTAGAGCGTGTTGACTCCTTCACTTGTTTGGGAAGTTATGTCAGCAC